AAAAGTTTCAGAATCGTTGTTTAAAGGACCCAAAAATGAAAGTTTTAGTGCAAAAAAATCTAAGAATGAATATTTAAACCGCATCTTGCTACGATGGTTCGTTTTCGAGTTACGGCGATTTTAGTGACAACTAGGCGTTTGTGACGTCACACTTGATTATCAGGGACAGTATTGACACGTGTAAGAATATTACAAAACAAAACAATTATCGAACTTCGTTGACCAGTCAGAAACAACTACTCCGAGGGCAAATACCCCTACCGGCGTTGAACTACACTGATTGGTCTGAGCTTTCGTTGGCAATGGAAATTGTTAGAAAGATTTTTTTCAGGTAATGACCAACGTGAATACAGGAACACAGCGGTCCCTGTTTGGGAATCGACCCACTGAGCAGTGGACCCAGACTTCCCGTGCCAATCCTTGACGCGTTTCGTCCTTGTTAGGACTCATCAGAAGGACATAGGCTGAAGCTCCCTGTCCAAGCAAAATTGAACTTCGTTGACCAGTCAGAAACAACTACTACCCCTACCGGCGTTGAACTACACTGATTGGTCTGAGCTTTCGTTGGCAATGGAAATTGTTAGAAAGATTTTTTTCAGGTAATGACCAACGTGAATACAGGAACACAACGGTCCCTGTTTCTGACTGGTCAACGAAGTTCAATTTTGCTTGGACAGGGAGCTTCAGCCTATGTCCTTCTGATGAGTCCTAACAAGGACGAAACGCGTCAAGGATTGGCGCGGGAAGTCTGGGTCCACTGCTCAGTGGGTCGATTCCCAAACAGGGACCGTTGTGTTCCTGTATTCACGTTGGTCATTACCTGAAAAAAATCTTTCTAACAATTTCCATTGCCAACGAAAGCTCAGACCAATCAGTGTAGTTCAACGCCGGTAGGGGTATTTGCCCTCGGAGTAGTTGTTTCTGACTGGTCAACGAAGTTCAATTTTGCTTGGACAGGGAGCTTCAGCCTATGTCCTTCTGATGAGTCCTAACAAGGACGAAACGCGTCAAGGATTGGCACGGGAAGTCTGGGTCCACTGCTCAGTGGGTCGATTCCCAAACAGGGACCGTTGTGTTCCTGTATTCACGTTGGTCATTACCTGAAAAAAAAAAAAAATCTTTCTAACAAAACAATTATCTCCAAGAGCGAATTGCAACCACTCAAAGTATAGGGTACGGTTCACTGACGATTAAACGAACAGAAGACTGCGATTTCGGTGGTTGTGACATCACAAGCTCCTACATAATTTATCTTTACAAGAAATTTTCTCGGAGACCATTTTGAATATAGGACTGCGGTTTTCACGAGAGATCTTAGAATTTTTTTTTTTTTGATTTAAGTAAAGTGCGACAAGTGAGTGAACCTGTGTGGAAGGAATGCGGCCAAAACGCTCCTGATTGGCGCGAGATTAAATATACATATACGCGGATCGTCGCGTCAGGGTAACCGCAATTTTCGCAATGCACCACGTCGGGGACCCGTCGCGTCGTATAGTATAGGTTTTCGTCTTCCCCTCGGCTACTTCATACGTTACCAAGTTTCACTCACTTGTCGCACTTTAGCTTTAGTCGTTTTTTAGGGTCACACCCTCTTTAAGAAGGAAACTTAGCTTGGCAGGATCGTCCAACAAACAACAGTATCCTTGAGGAACTAATCGCACCAGCATTGAGGATTGAGGCAATACTCGTTCAACATCATCACTCATCAGCTTCGGGATGCATGTCGTCCGCCTGCCTGACTCTTGTCTTCCTAAACTAATTAAGTGTTCCCAAGTAAAACCTGGCCAACGCAGTAAGGGAGTAAACGATACATAGATATTCTCAAGACGATCATGCGAAAGCGTGATTGATGCCCGTATGGCGACGAAGAATCCATCAGCGCTCGGATGATTTCGAACAAAAAATTCAAAGAGATACGATGCTGTCGAGAATCTTATAAATTTTAGAATTCTCGCTTCCGAGGAAGTGCCAATTGTGATGGAGAAAAAGGATCGACATCTCCGAGCACTTGAAACTCATAGCTTCCTTGAAGCCACAGAATGTAAGCTTTCAGCCGAAGAAACTTAGAATTTTTCCAGAGGGACGAGTTCCCAACAAAGGCATGTAGTAGTAGTAGTAGTAGTAGTAGTAGTAGTAGTACACATGCTTTATTGTCCAAGAAACTTTAAATCTTATTGACAAAGCAAACTTAATTTAAAACACTTAAATCTATTCATTATTAAAATTACGAATAAAGTATCTGCATATAAAAACACTCAGAGTAAAAAAAAGCAAAAACAATAGAAAAACAAAAATATCTGACAAGTGATAGCTTCATATTTCTCAACAAATAGATAAAAAGCTATGATAAAAAAAGATTATAATAGCAACTAATTTGGTTACCCAACAAGGTCTTTCAATATTATCTATGGAGAACAATAAATAATTAGGAAAAAACAAATGAACAGTCTAAAATAGAAAAAAAAAACAATATACATAAATAGTTTAAAATGAGAAACAGTACTTAGGTAATTAGTATAATATATTTGAAAGTTTTCGTAAACTCATACAGAAGGCAAACACTATCACACAATGAACAACAGAATATAACCAGGTGGGGTTCAATAGATAGCTTTTCAGTAGGTCCTTGTTTCACGGAAGGAGAAATTAAGAAATTCCTCAATAGAATAAAATGCTTGTGCAACCAAAATTTCCTTTAGTGCTTTTCGGAACTTGCCAAGATCCGACATGGACAATAGGCTATCAGGTAAGTGATTATAAATCTTTAGGCTGTTGTAAATAATTGATTTTTGTACCAGTGTGATACGAGGAGTTGGAAGAGGTATAGCATTTATGTTTGTTCGTCATGTGGTTCGAGATCTCTGGGTAGTTGGAAACAGATGAAGATTTTTATGTACCTATTAGACTAACAGTTTCTAGAATGAACAGTGAGGGGAGAGTTAGGATTTTATGGAGTACAAATAGTGGTCTACAATGAGTTCTTATCGGGGCACATGTAATGAACCTTATCGATCTTTTTTGCAGTTTAAAAACAGAGTCAAACAAGTATTAACTACAATATCCCCAGAAAGGTAAGCGGTATGCAAGATGTGACTCAAACACTGCATGATAGACTGGTTTTGCAGTTTGTGAACCTAAGTGGGTAGCTACGGCTCGGACACAATAACACCCTGAAGCGAGTTTTTTGCTTAGTGATAAGATATGTAATTGAAATTTTAGACTGACGTCGATCTGAAGTCCAAGAAATTTAGTACTTGTGGAAGATTTAATTAAGAACTGATCACATACAATATCATCCATATTACAGCGAAAACCCAGTACTTGAGTCTTGTTAAAGTTAAAAAGAAGCCCATTTGCGTCACACCAGTGTTTAATTTTAACCAGATCTTGAGAAATTATCCGAAGCATCTGAAGAATTTCTGAGCATTAATAGTAAAGGATGAGGGAGTACCTATGTTCTTGGCCATTCCATCCGCGAACACGTTTCAACATCGGGTTTCGTCAGAAAGAAGAAATTCCTAGCCACGTTTACGAGAACTGATAAGTCGAATCTGCGGGTGGCGAAGAAAGAAGCTTCCATTTTCTTTTTCTACTATCTTCTCGTATAGCCTAAGCGAACTTTTGGTCTTGTCAGATTGAGGGCCGGTACTATCAACCGCGAAATACACCGGTTTCAAACCATCGCTAACTACAGGGACATCAAAATCGAAGTCCAATTGTCATTTATAGGTTTCAGCCCCTGCGTTTCCTTCATTTTCATTGCACTTATGTTTTGCCTCAATTTTTTTATATAGGTACCTCAAATCACCTTAGTGCAGGTCTAACACTAAAAATAGAAACGAGATACTAAAAGAAGGTATAAAAATTAAACCGGAAACGTTTAACATAAAAAAGACATTTGGAAGATGTAACCTCGGATAAAACATTTAGTTCCGGATCACGAACTTATCAAGGAAGCAAAATTTTAATTTAAATCGATTTTCGACACAATGCACTGTCAGAACCTTGGGTTTTCTTTCTATGCATGGCACCACAAAATATGTAATTTTTTTGATTGATTTTATGTACTTATTGTTTGTGTTTTTAAAATTTTTCGGAGGTTAGAAAAGCACATTTCCTAAATTTTCCGATGAGGAAATATTAATTTATGTCCTTAAGCCAGGACGCGAGTATTTTTGTGCTACATACACTCAGCTCAAAGTTTGAAGACTGATGACGCGTAGCAGTTGCATCGACGCACAAAAGGACCTTCTGAGCCGAATGGCATACACATTTTTTTATCTTCACGTGACCTAATTTTTATTACCGCCACTGCCATTAATTAACGAGGTATGTCAAGTCAAGCTCGCTCACTATAAATGTCAACTCAATAATCCGTTACTCGGAACACGGGCGCTCGTGTGAACGTGTGACGCATTATTTTGATTATCCGTACTTATTTAAATTCGTGATTTATTTATTTAATAATTTAATGCATGATATTGAAAATAAAATGTAAAACGAACAAAATAGTGCAAATTATGAGTAAATTATGCCGTTGAAGTTAATTTCCGAACTCGGCCATTGTCGCCACCGCCCTCTAGCGAAGTGTGAGAAAAATCATAAACTACATGAACATAATAGCGTTGAATCGATCACTTCTGTGTGAAATTTTGACAATAAAATTGAATTTATAGACCTTTAAAAATAAACTATTTCAATCGAATATTTTCCATAACACATAAATATCCAAATACATTTACATATTATAAACTGGCAATATTACAAGATGTTTTAAAATAAAATAAATAAGGGAAGAAAATCAAAAATAAATATAGAAATTTCTCAAAAAAGGGTTTCAATTTCTATTTAAAATTATTTTTTAGAAAGAATGAGTACCTATACCTATCTTTTTAAATTTCTTTTTTTATTCTTTTGGAATTAGGTTTTTTGTTTCTAGTATTTAAATTCGTCTATCGAATTGCAATGGTCATGATCAGATTTTAGCTTATTTTTTTCAGGGTCACGCAGTTGGAATTGAATAGGAACAAAATGGTACCTACGCTTCCGTATAATACTGGTAAGATCGAAAAAAAAACAGAAAAAAGTAACATTTATTAGGATATTTTTCCGTCCTGGGCTCAACTAAAAGAGTGTACGATTTTCACTAATTTTCAGAATGTTTTTCTTGATTGAATCTTAGGTTGTTTATTAAAGTGACGTGGTGTATTAAGAAAAAAATATATAGGACATCCTGTATCCAGAGAAAAAGGCGTTGGCTATTGGACGTTCTATCAAAATAATTAATTTTTGATATCTCAAAACTTGCAATAATTCTCACGATCTGATATGAAGAGTTGATATTTGTAATGCCACTCGACTAATTGAGTAGTTTTACGACATGCCTTCATCAAATTGAGATTTATCGGGGGCTAAAATTTATGAGGGGTCCTTGGTAGAATCAAAACATTTTGATTTTGACCCAAACTAGGGTGCTGAAGGATAAAATCCGTTGTCAAAACAATTGAGTGAGCACTGTTGGGCATCGGAAATGCAAATTCATTGAAATTATGTTTTAAGTCCTCCCTAAGCGCGTTGAATCACTTAATCAGGATTCAAGTTTGGGTAACTGCAGACGTATGTGCTTTTCTAAGTTTTTTTTTTTTAATCAATTGAAATGGGTTACTGGCTGATAAGGGCTGGATAATAATAATAATATATATTGAGAATTTCATTCACATTTATATTGGCCTTCTACAAAAACATTCTTTGTGTTTACTAATTGGCTACCTACTGTATTTATTGGCATAAAATCCAGCCAACTGATTCTCTGAAACATAAAAATACAATCAGTTTGATGACGTGGGAAACCACATGTATGTCGAGCCCCCAACATATCATCTGTTTGTCAATTGTTATCAAAAATAACCAGTGCTCCTTAATTACAGTGAATTGTGCCATTAAAAATAATATTTAGATAAGGTGATTAACTCAAAAATACCAGGATTAATACTGTTCTTGAAAATTGTAAAGATAACGCCATATTTCTACATAAAGCTTATATGCAACTGAAAAGGTTATCTCTGGCAATCTGTCTGGTATTTTTGCAATTGATTGATTGATTTTTGGCAAAACAAACAGCTTTCTTTTTTTCCCACCTACTAGATGATTAACGCGTTAATGAACATTGGACTATGTACTTTGTGACTAAAAATATTCTATATTGCCTATTGTTTAATAATTTTGGTATATCCGGATTTAAATATTTTACCTGCAACCTAAAAAAAAAGATGCTTCTACGCCATTGACGCACAATTTTTGCTCGTAAACTTCAGCATTTTGTAAATAGATTTTGCTATAAAACTTAAGGCCGTTTTACAGCTTGCAATTCTATCTGCAATATGCAAGAAACTTGAGCAAAGGCATGCGCAAAAGTGAGTCAGCTGATTGTTTTCTGCAAGATTCTTGAAACTTGAATGGCATTGCATGCAATCGATTTGGTGACATTTTTCTTGGAGGGTTAATTATGTCAAGTATGATGCTTAAAGTGGCTGCTATTGCTTTCTTCTTTTTATATCGACTTATAATCACTTTTTTCATTTTTGAAAAATGCAAACATCAGCAACACAAAATTAGAAAGAAAAAAGTATGGTTAAGGTTAGTGAAGGAAACAGGTCAAGTTTTCTTGGAAGCTGTAAAACGGCCTTTACAAAAAAAATCATATTTACTATTGGTATTTCAAATTAAATACCCACGTATGTTGTATTACTTTCAGTCTACAGTATTTAGAGTAGGTACGTTACATTATGTATTTAAGTACTTATAAATACTTTAAGTACTTATAAACCTACTTTGTCGCATTTTTGACAGTATTGTGATACATAACTGCATACAAAATTGAGTGGTAAAGCGCATTTTAGCCTGTATAGCACTAGCAACCATTATCAGTTCTTTTAGTTTTTATTCCTTATACGAGCATTATATCTTCGAAAACACCTAAACTACATACATATACCTATGTGAGTACCTACTTAGAGTTTTTTAATAAAATACCGAATAATAAGTAAGTACTTAAAAAAATTTAAATACTTTAAGTACCTTTGAACTACTACTTTTCGAGTAGACTCAAATTTTCAGTACACTTTTAAGTAGTAGGTAGTATGTACTTAGAATAAATTGCCAAATTTAAGTACCAGTAGACAAGTTCTTTTCTCAAATTGTATTGATTATTTTTCCGTACATACTCTCCTTATAGAAGTACTTAAAAGTATGAAATGTACTGAATATTTCAGTTACGCTGGCTTAAAAAGAACTTATTGTATTAAAAAATTAGTTAATTGGTATTCCTAATCTCTAATTTTAGATACCTACTGATTTCCGGCTCATCTGCGGGAAAACCCAACAGATCTTCATTATTGTACCCATAAGGGGAATAAGATTTCACAATTCAGATAATGGTTAATTCGTCCGTGTTCGGCGACTTGCAAAACCAATTTGCAATAAAACGCGAAATTTTCGTATTAAATTACGTTCCAGGAGAGAGCATATACATATAATTTAAAAATTTGTTGCTAAGGTAAACAACATCTGAATACTTTAAGTTGATCTTTGGACCAAACGTCTAGGTAAGGTAGAACATAAATGTCAAAAATCAAGTGAAATTCTCGAGAAAGGTGTGACAACGCTCGGCCAATCAGAAAGCAGAAACGTAGAGGCTTGTCTCTACGTCACAAGGTCTACGTCAACGCTTGCACAAGTTACTTATACCAATACCAATACCAAATCACCTGCTTAGTAATTCAGTCGCGAGTCGCAAGTTCTACAGTCAGTCAACAGTTAGCTTGCGTTCAGCAAGTAACCACCACTTTTCGCGCGCTAATTTAAATTACTTTAAACTTGGCACTGAATCGGCTGATTGTAACTTTTTTTAAAAAAAATATTGTTGTCTGTCCGTAATAAGGAAACTGCAATATTAATGTTTTCTTTGGTTACAGGCGTTACTCTACGGAAGTGTTCATCTGTTACATAAACTGTTATAGAAATTAGTGAAAATTTTGGACTTGTTAAAAATAATTCTACTTTGTTAAAAAATAAATATATTTTTTTTATACTGATGAAATGAGTTACGTAAGTAAAGTGAGTTTTTGTGTGGTGATGCTAGTCAGCTTGGGCCAAATTATTAATTGTGGTAATGAGTTTGAAATACTTCCACCACCCTGTTCTAGGTAAGCAAAAATATTTTAGAAATTTACTTTTTATTTTGTTTATTACATAAAATAAGAACATGTAGCACATCTAGTGCATTTTTCACCAATTTTTAGTTATTATTTCTGATATGCAGCTCCCATCAATGTTTTGGTTTGCGAAAATTAATAGCATTTTATGATAACTGTTATAGAAATATCAAACGCAAGATTTCTCCCAATACTAGATATTGTTTATTTATCTTTTGTCATAAAATAGAAAATTTCATCATATTGAACCATAATTTGACCGCTTTTACCTTGGAATTTTGATAGGTTACATGCATTTTTTTGATCTGGCCACTTTAGATACCTACCTAACCTACCTAGATTTAAAAAATTACTTATAAATTGATTTTTTTTTTCCCCTAAATAATTATTATTAAGTATTTGCAACCGTCTTAATTGCATCAGATGTAAATGACCGTCTTTTTCAACGTCATCAGACTCAAAAGTATGTTCTAATTATATTCACATGGCAACGTGATGTTTTGTGACCTAAGGGTCCCTCCCCAACTACTTATTTTGGCTAACAGCCAATTTAATAGTAACTATAATTGTTCTAGTGATATTTACTGCCATGGGAGACTGCTCGACACAATTCAAATGGCGAAAATTTACGCTGATTCGAAGACTTTCGTCGACATGAAAATGAAGTATTCACCAAACGATACGATGGCAAAATTTGATCTTTTTATGAACGATTTTAAAGAAAGAAAACCCACCAGGGAAGAAGTTCAAGTTTTTGTAGAACGGAACTTTGAGGCAGCAGGGCAAGAATTTGAAGAATGGGATCCGGAAGATTGGATAGCTCATCCCAAATTTCTTGATACTATCGAAGATGGAACTTTCAAAACTTGGGGAAAAAAACTCAATGATATTTGGAAAACTTTGGGACGTAAAATAAAAGATGAGGTTAAAAACCATCAAGAACATTACAGTATAATTTGGGTCCCCAATCCAGTTATTGTTCCTGGGGGTAGATTCCGTGAGTTCTATTATTGGGACACTTACTGGATCGTTCAAGGGCTGTTACTTTCTGAAATGCAGCATACTGTAAAAGGCATTCTAGAAAACTTCTTATACATCGTCGATCATTATGGTCATATTCCTAATGGTGGAAGGATTTATTATTTGGCTCGATCACAACCTCCACTTCTACTTCCCATGATCAAATTGTATTACGACTTTACCAAAGATGCAACCTTCATTAAAACAAATCTACCAACTATGGAAAAAGAATTCAATTATTGGATGACGAATCACACAAAAGTTCTTAAAATGGACGGCAAAAATTATACTTTAGCAGTTTATGGAGATAGATCTCACGGGCCTAGACCAGAATCTTATTCGGAGGATGTTGAGAGTGCTAAATATTTCAAAGATCAACATAAGCAAGAAGCTTTTTATTCTGAAATGAAAGCTGCTGCTGAATCTGGATGGGACTTTTCAAGCAGATGGTTTATTACTAATGCAACTAATAAAGGTACATTTTGTACATATTTTTCATATACATTTATTAATTATATGAATTTGTTTTTACAGGAAATTTGACAAATATCAAGACTCGCTCTATAGTTCCAGTAGATCTAAATGCAATGATTTATTGGAACGCAGCTCTATTATCCGAATTCAACGCGATGTTTGGTAATGACGAAAAAGCAAAGCATTACAATGAAATTGCTGACCAATGGATTGTAGCCACTACAGCTGTATTGTGGCACGAAGAAATCGGAACGTGGCTGGACTACGATTTGTACAATCAAGTAAAAAGAGACTACTTTTACCCCACAAACATTTCTCCACTTTGGACTGGCTGCTACAATAAAACAGATAAAGACAAAGTTGTTAGAAATGTGCTCAAGTACCTGCAAAATAAAAATATTCAATATCCTGGCGGTGTACCAAGTTCAGTTGAGCATACAGGAGAACAATGGGACTACCCTAATGCTTGGCCACCACTACAGCACATTATGATTGCAGGGTTGAATAATACTGGTGACGAATATGCTGTCAGATTAGCATTTGAGTTAGCTGAATCATGGGTACGGTCCAATTATCAAGTTTTCAAAGACACTGATGCTATGTATGAAAAGGTAAGATTTTTTTGTGGATAGTTCACTTCCACTGATAATTTAGGTGTGGGGTAAATGATTTTTTTTTTGATCTATGAGAATTTTTGATTATTTTGCAAAAATTTCCTCGATTCGCAAGATATTTTTAAATAAATCATATATCGTCATTGCCACTTTTTCTCCTCTACAAAACGTTATCGACAAATTCAGAATTCGAAGTCTCGTAAGTACGGCCAAAGAATACGGCCTATTAATTCGTTGTAATTTTTCGTTACTTTACGACTTCGCTGGAGGCCTGAAGCAATAAATATCGCAACGCAACCATACTATTTTTGTTGAAAATAATACTCCAAAATCGCTTATCTCTGTCGTAACACATTATTTTTTTCAGCCCCTCTTTATTGAATACATTATTTTAATGAAAATAAACGATAGGTAAGTAATTTATTCGTTCGGAAATCTTTTTAAACTTTTTTGGTTATAATGAAGAAGGTTCAACGTGAATATTTTGTCAAAATCCTTTTAAATAAACAATTAGGAAAATTATAATAGTCAAGTGGAAAGTTTTGTTGTGAGTATGCAATTTTTGAAATGAAGACTCCAGACTCCAGCTAAACATTTCCTTTATTCGAGAGGTAGATGCTAATTTATCTAGGTACCACAATATCACTTGATCCGAAGAATCTAACTTCACAAATTGTGACGTACTCAGATCCATCGGAAAGTCAGAGAAAATTGGGAAGTTTAGAATTGGCCTGAATTTTGATTCAGTATTAATGTGTCATCGCGTTTTAGGGCCATACTTGTTCGAAGAGAATTTAACCTATCTTGGTTATTTATTTTTTTCAAATACAGACTCTTGCTACCTTACGGATGTTTATAAAAATAATTGGAGTTCTCTATAAATTTTTAACAAAACAAAATTATACCAATTTGCAGGTTCTTTGCACTCAACCTATTTTACAACGGCTCTCAACCTCAACTATATCATGTTTTGCAAAAAAAAACAGCAAATTTGGAAGGTCAAAATGGTAACCTTGACCATTGTAATACATATGATATTCTTCACAATTTTATTATATACCTACTCTACACGCTATCTCCACTGATTGGACATTGCCCTTTGCAAAATATAGGTGACCGATGGATAATTTGTATAAGTATTGATAGTCAATGCAACTAGGTATTAGAATACATATTAATATTTGCGTGGTTATTATCTGATGACCTGGAATTCGAAAATTTGTTCGTGTATTTCAAACATTTTCATAAAAATAAATGAAAATGGATTTAATTGGATTTATCATTTTATCTAAATTGAAATAACGTGTGGTCTCAAAAGGGGGTTTATTAAAAAAAATTAAAAAATTGCGTGCTGGCTTTTTCCGTACAGTAAACTTTGCCACGAGGTAAGTCATATGACGTTAGCGTGTCAGCAAAAAATCGCTCAAAACACTTTTATTGAACAATTGCTACTTATGTTCACAACAAAAGACGCAAGTATAGCGATAATTAGCTATTTTTAGAACATCTCTATGTCACAAACGTGAAGTCTTTTTAGCATCATCAATTTGCTCCAGGTCTGTTCATGATTTATAATGAATCAATAATTTCTTTTGTAGATAGGTACATATGTATATGTAGAAATAGGTACCAGTTCTCAACTATTCAAGTTTTTTTTTTCAAATATTAAGTAACTTTTCAATGTACATTGGCAATATCAGTTTCTAGAAATATAAGTATAGGTAGGTATACTCGTAGGTATACATATGTATAAAAAATTAGCCAAATATTTTCAAGGAACATTTTTCTCATGAAAATACGAGAAAAAGTTACTATGATGGTGAACATTTTGCGGATACTTACCTAATTTCTGATACCTAAACAGGATGCCACTGAAATAATATATTAGCTCAAAATATATGCCTTTTAAATAATTATGGATTCGCCGATCCTAACATGTTTTGACATTTCACATTTTGCGACGGTACTTAATAAAAACCCATATTTTAGGTAACTTGTAGTTTCAAGATCTTGTAAGCCAATTTTTTTATTTCGTCGAAAGGAGTTATTAATAATTACTGATCACACACAATCTTTATCTGTATGAGAAAATATGCGGCACAAAGTATACATAACTTCGGTCCCGTGAAACATACTCTCATATTTTCAAAAAAAAAAAATTCACCATTGCACCATTCATCGCAATATCTACAGACTACAGAGTGAGTCTGAAATCAATTTAAATATTGTGGGCAAGGTTTGATAACCCGCAGGGGGCCAATTCTTGAAAGTGGTGAAAATATTCACCCGGTGAAAAATTTCACCACCTAATTTTCACCTGCCTCACTCGTTTTGTATTCTTGAGTCGTGGGTGAATTTACTTGAGGTGAATATAAAATAACACTTTGGCAACGTCGAAATATAGCCTTCTTAGAAGGAAAATTGCTAAGAAAAATTGAAAACGCCTACAATTCTTAGCCTTACTTTTGTGTGGGTTTTTTTTTCCGCAACCGTCAACGTGTCAACTGACCGGCGACCGCAGCAATAATTTGTTTTCGAAAAATTTAAGCATAAACTATTGCTATTTTGCCCTGTAAATTCAACAGTTGAAAGAGATGTCTAAGAAATATTGTGGACATGCAACCACGAAGCAAAAAGAACATCTAATTCAAGTTGTGAATGATGACGAATTGAGAAAAGGACGATTTTCAGATTCTTGTACAAAAAGCTTTACAAAGCTGATATTCTTGTTGGAGCTTCTATAAAAGGATCTTAAATTTCTATAAGAAGGCGAACAAGAGGTTTGGTTAGGTAACCTGAATAATTTCTTGAATAAAAAATCTGTATTTCAAAAGGATTTTCTCGTCTACGTCTCATTCTATTTCCCTCGACAACCGCTGCATCATCTATGATGTCTCCAATTTCAATTCGGTTCATTAACAATAGCTCGTTTTCCATACTTTATAATATAACAATTAACAATAGGTTCACAAGTCAGTTATTTTATAGGAAATAGGAATTAAAATACAAAATCAGAGTACTCTGACAAAATAGTCAATAATTATTGACAATAAACAATTACAAAACAAATTACAAAGTGCCAAATTATGGTTAGAAATGCACGTTTTCACCGAAATTTGTAATATTCACCACCCTTTTCGGTGGCGAATCTATTCACCCAATAAAAGGTGAAAAATTTCACCTTTTTTTTTCAAGAATATGATTATGTAAATTTTTGGTGAAAGCTTAGCAATTCCACCCGGTGAATATTTTCACCACTTTCAAGAATTAGGCCCCAGAAGTTTTTATTTCTATTAGAGCTTATATTTTATGTATTGCAGTTTTAATACCGGACATTTGAATAAAAAAAGGAATTAGAAGTAAACTTTGGTAGTGGGTTCTGAAATCGAATAGTTTCTTTAAAAATTGTCGCGTTCATCGTAGCTTCACTTTAGGTATGTCTACCACGAACTTTCTTTATACTTTTCTATTCCACCTTTATATTTAAGAGGGCGTTAATGACAGAACTTCAGATTTCAAATATGTCAGTTCTGTACTCTGATTGGTTGATTTTTTAAAATTCCAAATATTTTAGCTTTCCGATTTTTTCCGCTTCAATAGGTCTGTTTCTGCAGAAATCACAAACTAGTCAGAGCGAATTTCATTGGTTGAAAACAGTCAGAAAACTAGTTTCAACCAATGAAATTCACTCTGACTGGTTTGTGATTTCTGCAGAAACAGACCTATTATTTCTTAAACCCTGGAAAATAGGCAACCAAATATACACAAATTATTTTTCATTTTGATAAAATATTCGGATTGTAGATACTACTTGATCTATCAAAGAATATGTATGCCAAATTTGAGCCAATTTTGATGGGAGGGGAGGTTTTGTTTTTCTCTTTGCAGACATTTTAACGATCCCCTTAAACGATCGGTACTTTATTTCAGCACATTTCCAAAAATATCGCATGACTTTTTTTCTATTGTAAGTGCATTTTCCTTTTTAGGTTCATTTAGAATGGTATTTTATTTGATAAAATCGACTTCTTATTAGGAGTCGAGAAGGTGGTGCTGTAGTTACGCTAAATCCATTTCATTCATCGCCCAGTAAGAAAAAGTAGCGCATAGAACAATATTTAGATAAATAAAAATCCCGATATTTTAGGCCAATACTAAAAAATTTTTAAAACTATTTTATTCTTCTAAGCGATTTTTTTACAGACGAATTGAAATAGTTAGGTACGGTGGGAATCATTGCAGTTGGCACATACTATACTCTTTTAACATTCCTTGTATCAGGTCAAAATAACCAATAAATCTATTTAGTGCAGCGGTGTACAAATATTTTTTTGCTTCAATAATAGTTTATTATAAGCTATTATTTTCACCATTGATTTATGGATCTGACACGATTTTGACATTACCTGTGTGTCAAAGAAGTAAAATGTTGACCCATCACGGGGGATTTTTATATAGTGTGTGCCAATTGCAATGATTCTCACTGTATCTACCTAGTTAGTAGTACATGTTTTATGGTTTTTGAGATATTTTTTGCAACTTTTCATAAAAGAACATAAAGTACCTACTTATTTTCTGGACGAAAAATTAATGAATAGGTATCGAAAAGTGCGTCGTATACGTACCAATATGCCAAAAAAAAAATCTGGGACACAACGTTGTAGAGTAGCTCCTAAACTAAAAAGAATTTGATAACACGGCTTATTGCTGATAACTTCAAAAAAGCAAATAGTCCGGAAGCTAAAACTACATTTTGGTGAGGTTCCAGTTTTTTTTTTTCGGCACTAATTAATATAATGTCTGAGGCTCTGATGAACGCGACCATTTGCACCAATCAAACGCATTATTGAAATTATAAGACCCATTATTCTAATTTAAAGGTCTGGTCTGGTATAAAAATTGCATTATAAAATATAAGCACAAACAAAAATTACTGCGGGTTTTCAAACCATGAATGGAATCTTAATTCATTTTCCTGACACATCCTGTAGGTAGAATATGTGGTATGGTGCAATGATGGTTAGACCAAACAAGACACCATATTATTAGAGAATGTTTCACGGGACCAAAATTACTTTGTGCCATGTCTTTTGAAAAAAACTGGCAGGTTTTTGAAGAAATATCATAAATTGCTTTCATCATTATTATCAATGCATATTTTTTTGGTCCCCACTCAGTTTATGTTTATTTGAACTAGTTAATTTGCTATTTTATCGTTTCTGCCGACAGGCCTAGTCGATTTTTTCAAACTAATTTACAAGGTTGTTAATTAACCAAACGGTTAAGATTTTGATGATGTTGAATATGTATAGTTGCTAAAAATAGGAATCTTTTTGGTGCAATGAAAATATACACTCAAAATTAATTTATAGATCTGGTTTATTGAAATCATGATTTTTTTTTAGTACGATTCAACTGTATTTGGGGGTTATGGTACTGGGGGTGAATACGAAGTACAGCTTGGATTTGGATGGAGTAACGGCGTTGTTATGGATCTTCTATATCGATACGGCGACAGACTGACTGCAAAGGATCCCGAACTTCCTATAATTCCTACAGCAGATGAACTTAGGGCATCTAGTGCTAGTATTAGTTCAATAACCACTGCGCTGATAGCATTATTGGTATCGCTGTCGGCCGGATTTATAGGGTGAGGTAGGTCAACAATTTTTTTTAATTTTATGCATGTTTAAATTAAGAGTTTACTTGTCAAAATCATTATTATCAAACTTGCCTGTAGTATTTTTTTTCGATCTGTCCCCCAATATTGCGATATATTTGGCATATTAAAATGAGTTTAATAAAGTTTCCCATATTAATATCACAAGAGCGAGAATATTAATGTTGAACATTTATCACAAATAATTAGGTTATATTATTTTCAAATTTAGAAAATTTGCCGCGCATTTTTTTCATTAGGTTTTAGGTATGGATAATTCTGCATTAATTTACGTATATCTCTAAAAATTCCATTGAGTGATTAAATAAATTTAGTTTTAATATAGTGATGTAAGTAGGTACCTAATTATTTAAATATGATTAGTAGACAAAACAAAAATAACATACATATTAATAATTTTTATCTAATATCCGATTTTAGGTTGAGACAATGTTTGAAGTATTAACACAATCGTTATTGATATGATTTTAAAATGCGATTTTTTATTATTTACGGCAAAGGTTCCAGGAGAAACTTCATTCTTCTGAACTAACTTGATTTTTTTTGATGTCATTAATTAAATAAAAAGGCTCTACCCGAGTTTAATTATTTTCAGTTAGATACTTATAGATAGATACATATAATATTATGTAATTAAACATTTATGGAAAGATAGATCAAAGGCCAACTAAACTTGATACAGTTATACCTAAAAACTTACTTTTATTAATTGATTTTCAATAGTTCCAAATTTGATTGCTAAAATTGTATTTTGTACCAATGCAAAGGTTAGTATACCTACTTGAATGTCAGTTTTATTTCGAGAGCTGCGGATTTATTCAGTTATTAATTATTCAAAATATTACATAGATTTTTTTGGCTTAGTATTTTTGCACAAATTTGCATACTGAAATATTAATATTACAAATTCCGGATGTGAATTGAATTACAATAATAATAATTATTAAATTTATACATCAATCACGGAAACATACATATACCTATTTAACTTTTAATTAAGTCAAACAAGCGTTAGAATAAAAGTTGATGGAATGTAGTACTATTACACCATACCGATGCACGAAGCAGCCATAATAATTAATTCTGATATTGTATTTTCAAAAATTAAATTAATTTGTGCTTAAATGAAATAAACTTAGCCGCATGCTGCTAAGCACGTACCTATATTGGGTTATTCAGATTATTACAGCAAGGCATATGACCAAGTTCAAGGAAATATTATTCAGTCCCGAAAATGTTGACTACTCAATTATAGGTATATATTTTATGATGCGCCTTCCTGTTTCTTATCAATTGTTTAAATTCTCTATAAACAAGGGACAATTTACTTTCTGTAGGTATCGTCATAAATAGCACAGATGTAATATTGTGTCTCAAGAATCATTTTGCACCAGTAAATTTGAAATTTATGATAAGCGGCGCCCAAAACCGCCCAAAATTTTACCGCGCCTAACGTAGCGCGACTGCTACAACTATTCGTACCTTTAATTGCCCTAAACCTTTATTAGCATTTTGAAAGTGCGATTGTTGCAGCGGCCAAAAACAAAATGATGATGATCCTCTTCTCGATCTTTGATACAGATCAATAAATATTATCTGCTTTTATCGGCTTAACATCACCATCACTTCGTTTTTTTTTTTTGCGTGAGCACTCCTATAAAATTTTCAAAAGGCAAATTTAAAACCCTGGAGAGTAAAATAGGCGCACTACCTGAACAGGATATGAAACTTATTTCAGGAGATTTTAATGAAAAGAGAAGCTGTATCAAGGGGTACAAAAAGTCTACACATATTCTCAAATGATGATAGAGTAAAGGTGCGTTTAGACTAGAGCACGCACGCACTGAGCATAAGTGCATGGCATTCACTCGTGCTCGCCGGCGCCGTTCATAACAAACATTGGCTGCACGCTGCAGTGCAGTGCTGCAGTGTTTTTTGTGAATAAATAGGGAACAATTTTTTAAGCGTAAGGAGCGTAGGATTGCAAATTATCAAGAGGTATATAGAAAGGTATATATTATACATAATGTGCACAGAATTGACCTATAAGTTCATAAGTATAAATATTCTTTTTGTGCAACCATCCGCAAAATGAGCTTTCGCAGCCGCCACACAGTCCGCGAAATTCAATTTCGCGGCCGTTGCCCTTGGTGACGGCCGCGAAACTATAAATCAAAATTTGACACTTTGACAACAACAATAAGTAAATTTTATTTCCAAATTCTTCAGAACAACATAAATTATTTAGGATAAATATTAACACTTACATGACAGTTTGCATTATTACTAATATTTACTCCTGAAGCTGAAGCAACTAATAATCCAGTGTTTTTGAATTGAACTCTCAAAACTTCCCATTTCGGCATTAAATTAGCCAATATGCTTTCAGACACCATTTTGACGTTTTGTTTGTCACACCAATTTTTTGAACTCGCAGTAACAATTTCCATATTGCTGCTTAGTTTTCCAGGTATTAACTCAGAAATAGCTGATTGAACCATATTTTTTAGCTCTGGAGGAGTGCAAGAGAGTGAAACATCTGTATCGCTGTCGGATATTTTCACGATTTTTTGAGAACCGTCAAAATTTTTTGTGTATTTGTTTACTTGCAAAATATGTCATCCATGACATCCATGGAAACGCTGTGCCACCATAGCCACCAGGTTATACATCAAACTGGTAATTAGTTCCACATGTTTGTTGAAAGGAGTACATTTTTTCTATAATTCCACATAATTTTCATGGTTGCACAAAAAATAGTGTGTATACCATGACCGCGAAACTTTTTAGCGTCCTCGAGATTATCTTGCCTCGGCCGCAAGCGGCCTCGGCGATAACTTTTCTCTACGTACGCTAAAAGGCACTTCGCGGCCTTGGTATACAAATAACTATTATTGATCTGTGTCAAAAGTCGAGAAGAGGATTCTAATGCATTTCTTGTTTTGTATTGAACGTAATTTATTGTCGAATAAATCTTATTTAATCAAAGAAATTGAACAACTTTGGTTGATGTTTAGTGGATCAACATCCCTTTTTAATAAAATTATGAAGAAGTGAAAATTGGCATTATTATTCCTACAACAAGTACGACTCTTGTGTCACCAAAATCCATTCAATAATATAGATAAAATAAATTGACGCAAGGAATTATAGTTTAATTGTCGAAAATCCCTCATTATTTGCTTCAAAACTAGCCTTACAAATTTGTCAAAAAGTGGAGTTCTTGCACCATGTCTGGAAACATGGGTGACGACAAACAGTTGAATTTTCGTTGATTTATAGGGTGAGCCAAATAGACGGATGACATGCTTTATGATTTGATATACACTTATTAGAAACCTACAAAAAAAAAATCACTTAAGTCAAAAATTAAATTGTATTGACCTCTAGTGAAATTAGTAATTATAATTTTTCACGTATCTAGGTACTTGGCGCGGGGTATATTTGCAATTTTTTTTGTTTTAAATATTGTCTCAGGTCACAACTCTGAATATTTATTATTATTATGCCAAGCTTATTTGAGTGAAATTTCCCATCGTCCTCGACCTTTTGCAAAATAACCTCTCTACTGGCCCTTATTGATAACTGTATTGAAGTATCTTGAGTCTCAATTGTAAACTCTTAAATAAAACTTATTTTGGCTATTAATTTTTATACTTTTTCATACATACATACATAATAATGAAATTCATTTTCCGTTTTTTCTTTCTCAATAACTGAAACAATTAATCAGGAAAAAAATAATAGACAATGCGTAGGTGTGAATATAAAATTAATCGGCTCGTTTCGTGTCATCGTTTTTCATGCTTAAATAGTCTCAATTTTATTTTAATGACTCAAAATTTAAGATCAAGAAAATCCAACACACATACACATTTGCAATGCCTGAATTGGGTTCATTTGAAAATAATTGAATAATTAGGTACCTATTTATTGTTGTAAACGAAATTGTTTAAAATGCTCAGTATTCTTTGGCAAATCGTATATCTAATAGTGATTTCTTTTGTTTCAGGATGTATTAATTACGAAAAATTCCACGAGCCAATAGCATGAGTGTGATAATAGAATCTCAACTTCCCTAAAATAGGGAAGTTACTTTATAAAAACATTTTTCAAAAGTTTTTTTAACTGGCACGAGCGTGATATCAAAGATACTATAGTATTATTTTAAATGTGATGTTATTTATAGGTTCTATTTTTATGAATATAATTTTGTGGGTACCTGCTAGTGTGTGGCATGTTTGTTAGTAGCATGTCTTTCTTCTAATTAGTTCTAATTCTAATCATAAAAATACATTAGAATTAATATTGTTATAATGTGTAGATTTAAAAATTAAATTATTAAATAAATGAGACCATTAAAAATCTAACAATATTTTTGTTCTGTATGTGGTGGACTAACAAAAACAAAATTAAGAGCTAACAATTTTTTGTTGTTGTTGGTTAATAATAACCTATATCTGGTGAAATCACCTTACTGTGAAACAAACAATAGATACAGAGTAGGTACAAACTATTAAAAAAATGTCCTTGGACACCGGCGTGCCATAATTATCTGTGGTTGTTGCTTTTATTATAAAATTGTCGGCTATTGAATTATAGACGTCTAACGGACAGCATATATTAGTTACACAATCCTAAAGCGAAATAAGTTGAGGAAATTACGAATTTAGCTTAAGTGGCTGTCCACTGGGATCATCTCCTAACGACATGATCCTGCGGTTTCTGCTGTATTTATTATGACTGGCTGTACGTTAGATGGCGATGAGGCAGGATAACCATAACCTCATTTTTTTTTACACTAACCTACTACGCCGGCTGATGAAAATAAAATTATTTGACATTCCGATAAAACTGCGCTTATCCTCGCCACCTTGCATGAATCCAATTATACAGGGCGTACCATTTAAAACGAAACAGGCTTAATATCTGATGGCACGTTTATTTTTTAAAAAATCGCTCGTACACGTAATTTGATTTTCAAAGGGGGAAGTTTTCTGCAACCATTTTAAGCACTTCAACTTCAACTTTCTAGGCGGGGTGGGACCAACCATTACTATTTCAAATGGAACAAGGGGTCGAGTGATACCTCGTTTAAAAGAGCATTCAATTCTCTTTCATTTGATGTCATTTGAAAGAAAATTGAGCACTCTTTCAAAACAGGTATCACTCGACCCCCTGTTCTATTTGGAATGGTAAGGCTTGGTCCAACCCCCCCAGAGGGTTAAGTTAGTGCTGAAAATTTCGTCAAACACTCACACAATCAAATTACGTGTACGAGCGATTTTTTAAAAAATAAAAGTGGCATCAGATATTTAGCCTGTTTCGTTTTAAATGGAATACACTGTATATGTGCATACTTGTTTGATGATCACGTGATCCCCTCTCCACATATTTGCGAATTTTTTTAAATAGACGAAAACAGATTTTGGAACCTATCGCCATTATTAATTATGATCAATTAAGATAATTGTGCAAATTATTGCACCTATGGGTACTAATTCGAAAGGAATTTGTCAGCATTAATGTTTATTTTTATCTCTGATTTAGATGGTACTTTTCCAAGTAAAAAATATGACATGACTTCACTTTTTTTTTGGTTCATAAATGTATTAAAAGCCGCAACTACAAAAGTCATGCTTGTTACTAACCCAAACTAACGTTGGAATTTGGCACTCATATAGATATTTGAATGGTATTTTGGTGATAGATTATAGATTCTTAATCTTCTGCAAAACATATGGGAGTGCTACAAAATCGAGTCCTTAAATGGGTATCTCGGAAATGGTAAGTGATGGATCATTTACACTATAGTGACACATCCTTGCAAAAAAACGAATGTCTGCATTTGAAAATTTTTATTGGACGTTTCAGATTCATTGGTCTATCGTTCTTTATTCAAATACATACTCGGTATTTCTATTATATTTTCAATAGCGTTTACTTCAACAATGTATAATCGAACTCCGTAATCAGAAGAGGACAATAGATTCAATTTCACATAAAATACTAATTTTAAAGAAAATTTTTAAATTGTTATTTCACTTTCTTACTTTAACACATGTCTTGTTAGGAAAAATCAAGATAAATGGCCAAAAAATCTGAAAAGACGCATTGAATATTTGACAATGTCATTTTCGAGGGCAGAAAAAGTTGTATTAGTTTTAGAAGTATTTTTTTTTAAATAAATAAACCATTTCACAAATTTTTTAAAATATCTCCAGAAGTCCAGAGCAATCAGCAGCATTTTAATGGGCACATCATTTCACAACCTAATCAAAATCGCATCTCTTATATAGCTTCCGAGATGGCATACAAAGACTTGAATTTGTAGCACCCTCTTTTTATTTTAATAAACAAATATATTTTATTGCAGAGTTTGTATATACAAACGAAAGACACAATACACAACATTCTTGGACAGAAGAAGGCCATCCAGCACCAAATATACCGAACTTAGGAACATACGACAGAAAAAAAGTGCAAGGTAAGTCGTGTAATGGCCGCAGCGTCAACTATGAATGGTTGTTAAATATATCAAGTTGTTAACTTATTTTGAGCTATTGTATTATGTGTGGTTGTTTTTCAATTGATCGAAGCAGCACGAGTTTTTTGTTCGGATAAACTCGGTGTAACGAGGAATGGGTTATTAACGTAGGTGGTAACCGTGTTCAAACGATTCAGTGGATATTAACGTTATAATTATATATTTATGACGTGCAAAATAATCGAGGAAAATAGTTTTTATTTAGGAAATTTTGCATTCTGTAATTGATAATTTCTAAATATATTTCAAAAGCGAGCTTAGTCATTTGCACTATACCGGGTGACAACGAAATCGTTATACAAGGCGTCATAAAGTTGTCTTTAAAGTTAAAAATTTGAAAATCGGGTGGAACGGGTAAGTCATTGAGACGCCCATTTTTCATTAAAAAACAAATGAATATCACTTCCGGTTACTCCGGAAATGGACCCAAGTCAAGAAATTTTTATGGAACCCTGTATATTTTCTTACACAGTTGGATAGAGCTTAAAATTCCCTTTTCAATGACATATCACAAGTTGCATTTGTTTTCAAGATGGTGGCGTAAGAAGGTATTTTTCTTAAATTCAATATGGCGGCATTCTCACGTATCCGATAATGTTTTTGTCAAACAAACAGTTTAAACAATCCATAATTTTTGGATTTGAAATGGTTTTAGATCCAATTTGAAAAAAAAAATGGTTTTGCTTGAAAACAAGTGCCTTTTAATTTTTTTTTTAAATGTCAATTTTTGTTTCAAATTTTCTGAAAATTTTGAATAGGAAGAGGTACTTATCAAATCCTAAAATTAAAAGGTGTCTAATGACCTAACGAAAAATGCCCAATACGATGCTTAGATATTCGTTCATTGTTTTCGAAAAAAAAAAAATTCGGAAAACCTCAATTACCTATCTATTTTGATTATAAACGTGCTGAACGCGCCTTGAGAAGTTTTTCCTCAATTTTTTTTAGTGACTAACCGTTTGTAACCGTGTTATGAACGGTAACTGAAAAGTGAAAATATGATGTACTTTCAGGTTACCGTTTATAACACGGTTACAAACGGTTGGTCGCTGAATAATCCTTTAAATGTTAAAGTTTGATTACACAGACCAGACGTAATTTTTTAGTTACTTTTTTTGTCCGGCCGTGACGTGAGCGTACAAAAAAGTGTACACTTTGTTTCACGAGGGTGAATAATGATGTAATGACATAATTTGCCTTTCTTTTTTAACAAATACAAATTGACTGAAACAAATCAATGACGTCAAAAACATTCGTCGGTTCATAAACCAGAAATCATACATTTTAATTTGTCAAAAAAATGTAATGTGTCATATGTATTAATCTACGACAATCCTTTTTTTTCAAGTTATGACGTCTTCGATGTCTGAAGTATGAGCCCTGGTGAAACGAACTTTATTTCTCTGTTAGCTCACAGCCGGACAAAAACGTGACGTTACAAAAACTTAACCTTAACAACCACAAAACCAGTAAGCACAGCAATCTAATGGGTACCAAGCTCAGCCACTCAGCAGGGACTTTATTCTCGAAACCGAGGAACAGCGTTCTCATGAGAACGATCTCTCTGTCATTGTCAGTGTTATGGAAATATGAATACGGTTTCGAGAATAAAGTCCATGCTGAGTGGCTGAACTTAGCCGCTGGCACTGCCTGAATGTACCCAATTTTACGTTTTTCTGCATCTAACCTTTTTTGACAATATCTATTTCCTTGATTGTTTGCACACTGATGACAATTTGCGAAGTGAAACTTTTTTTTCCAAGTATTGCTTTTTTAACGTACACATGACGTCGTGCGCGAAATGCTTCCCCAGTTCTCCAGTGTGCGAAATGCCTAATTCGCGCACGGTAACAAATACCTGACAGGAAACCAAAAATAATTAAAATTTAGCTGCCTTTGATTGTGAATGCAATTTTCGTTTCGAATTATCGATATTTGAATGGAGTTGTGGAAAAAATATTGTTTGCAACTCGTGTGCGAAATGTTTTTGGTCAACATTTCGGGCACTAGGTACAAAAATAACTATTCAGTTCAGAAATTAAACGTCATTTGTTTTTTATTCAGATTTCCAGATATCTAATAACTACTAACACACCTAAATCCTAGAACCACAAAAAAAAAAAAAAAAAAAAATATATAAAAATTTTACTCTATTAAATGTTCTATGCGCTGGCCACCTTGTTCTTGGCATAATCTAATCCTCTGGACATTTTCTGTGAGAAGGTTTCTTAAATGATCTTCCGAAATGCTTTCAATAGATCTTCTAATACGATCTTGCAAAATTTTTAGGGATGGCGGAGGAGTTGCATAAACTTTTTCTTTTATGTGACCCCATATTGAAAAATCAAGAGGGGTCAAGTCAGGCGACCTTGCTGGCCACCGGTTTGGTCCATTGGTTCCTAACCAGTTCTCACCAAATCGCTCATTCAAAAAGTTTGTAGCGATTCTTGAGTTGTGAGGTGGAGCTCCATCTTGTTGGTAAATAAAATTGTTTCCTTGATGCAAGTTATTAATTTGAGGTACTATTTGATACTCAAGGAATTCCGAATACATTTGGCCATTTAATGGTTGATGGAAAAATATTGGGCCAATGATATTAAGTCCAACTACACCCAGCCAAACGTTTACCCCAAACCGTTCCTGAAAAGCACCTTCCCTCACAAGTCGCAGGTTTTCAATAGCCCAGTACCGAGTATTGTTCCGGTTAAACATTCCAAGATTGGTGAATCTGGATTCATCCGTGCAAATTATTGTGTGGTGTATAGTATAGAGACTTTTTTTAAAAAGTAAATTAGTTAGGTACCTATGCAAAAATATATGCGGATTTTATTTTTAAAATTACATCTTCGAGGTGTCGGTTGAAACACTCTTGCAATCCATCTTTATAGTCAAATCCTGGTAAGCCAATCTCAGGTGGTATTAAATCAATTTCTCTCCATGTCTTTTGTTTTTTGTTTCAACTCTTGGCAAGGTGATAGATTTATGAACATTTATTTTCGAGGTCGTTACGAAAAGTTCATTGGGGACAGAACCTAGAAGACCAGTTAACATCTCCAAAGCGGAGGATGATCTTGTCTGGGTATAATCCTTTAACGACTACCATAGATTCACTGGCTGGTCGCGTCCCGCTGAAACAATGTATCCTGATTAGAGCTATCGGGGAACCAAAAAATCTCGAAGCATCGCACAATGAGGACAGATTGAGTTACGCCGCGGAGGTTCTCAAAAATAAGTGACCGATAATTCCCGCGGCCAACATTACGCACCTGTGGACTATGTAGGCGCCTTCCGGATTTTGGATTATCTGATGTAAATTTGCTCGTATGCGAAAAAAATTGTTCTATCATTAATCATTATTTCAGCAAAAGAACGACTATTGGGGCTAGTCACATTGACACTTCAAATCTCTCCTCAAAATTATGTTCACAGATGAGTTGTGCATTCGCAAAGCTTGTGATGTCCTACGAATTGATCCACGTGGGTTTCAAATTATGGCGGCAGACACAGCATCAATATTTTCAAGAGTTTAACATTTACATCGAACGGAACCTACGATTTCATCAATTTTTTTTCCAATTAAGGCCGGAGTTACCCAATTCCTTAATTCTTAATATTTGTCCTTAATTCTTAATTCTTAAAAAGTTCAATTTATTTAACATTGGTGTTTTTAAGGATTAAGAATTAAGAACAAAAATTAAGAATTAAGGACTTGGGTAACCCCGGCCTAAGGCTTCCTCCACTCGCCTGATATTGAAGTGAGCATAAAATCTCCGTTTTGCAAGAGTATAAGAATCGTTGCTCTTGAAGTATGCTTGAATAATGAGCGCTCGTTGTATACTTGGCCGAGACGATTCTATATGGTGCCCAATTGTACAAGTTTAAATAGGGAAATACAATCCTGGGCAACCCAGTATCGAAACAAGCTTTGGTACTCAATAGCCAGTGTTGCCCCCTTTATATATTTTCACACAATGTATACTCCTAGGAAGGCTTCTAGAGGAGATTTGCTTGTAATGTTACTCTATGTTATTCCAAGTCTCGTTGATATGATTTTGGAGGTCTCATAGGTATCTGCGTTGCTGCAATGCTGAATCGCCCATCAAAAATATTTTCTATTTGATTTAGTTCGAGGCTGGACAATTAGCAGCGTGTATATTAGTCGCATTATGCCTAGTTCATTGCATTCCATCAGAAATCTGACTTAGTTATTTGGCTCAACATCTTCAATTTCTCTGTACTGAGGTATGTTGATGTCAGCACTTTATGTCAATGTCCCACAATGAGTCTCCAGAAATGTCTGTATCTTCCGTCTCGTCTCTTCATGGCCAGTTCAGACGTATAATCTGAGTATAGGATCGACGATCGTCTTATAACTCGTGTCTCATTTTTCTCCCACCTTATGCGTACAGGCATCGTGCAGTTCCAAAGTCAATGTTTTCCACAAATTGTTCCATTTTTATTTTAAAAGCCATTCATCTCATTATCGTCCAGTTTTGTCTTTACACAAAATGCGTCCCCCAATCATGAGCTTCAGCACAATATGCGCAGCTAATGGGATTCTGAGATTTTCATCCCTGACAGTTATGAAATTTTGTTGAAGATATTTTGTCCTGTGTTGGACCGAATTTTTATATGGGAGCAATTAACAAGTAGGTACCCCTGGTCACCAAAGTTCTTCTGCTCAATTATCGAGTTTGCCAAGTGTTCTGCAAAAAGAACATATGTAAGATGGGACTATGGAAGTTTTAACTCATCTTTATCTGCTTAATCTCATTGCGTTTGAATCCCATTTTGCTCGGACTAAGCTTTCTCATTGTTAATGTCTTTTTAATTCGGCACCCGATCATTTCTTCTGGTTATCTACTGAGCTAATTTGAATTGACGTTGACGGTTTCCAGGAATTGAACCCGAGCCTGCATGGCATGAGGCAGGAACACTATCATCTAGACCACAACGCCGATTTTCAATGCCTGCAATTCGACCAATCTCTGTAAATTGTAATCCTTAATTCTTATTTTGACTTCAAATCAAATCTTTGATTTCGTTAAAATGATCGTTGTTTGCTTTGTGTTTTTCCTGTATACTCTTCTTTATATATCTGTATGCCCGATTTCCATCTTTTGTGTAACTCGGCTACAAATTCTTTATCTTTATTAACTTTTTTTTTTGCAAGCGTTTCCAATATTGAAATTGCGTCATTGATTATGCTGACGTGCTTGGCAGCCCTCGCCTCGTCATCGGAAACTTCCGATGGACCTTTGGGCTTTTCCTGCCTACGCTTTTCGCCCCTCTGCAACCTTACTTGTAATTCATTTAATTCCTCTATTCTTCTTCTGCTCCCTTCTCCTACCTCATCTGACCAAGATTCAGACATATCGATTTCTTTACGCTCAGCTTCCAAGGGGCTTCGAGCTGAGCCCTCGTAAGGAGGGTACCCAATTTTCCCCATTAGCGCCTCTTGTGTGAAAGTGTCGACTTAATGAGTACGACTCGTTGCCCGCTAGTAGAGACGTGGAGAGGACGCATGCCTCAAACAATTATAGTGCGAAATCATAATCTCTACTTATATGTCTACTAGCAATCCCACCTCGGATAAACTTCACGGTAACGAAGTCACTGCGCGATGAGGTCTAAGGACCTGCCGATCGGCTGTTAGGCTTCCATCATCGCAGTGACCAGTTAATTGTTACGTTTAAAGAAATTCCTGAGCATACCATAACTGAATCGCTATCAAAACTTTCTTCTGGGCACCCATACACCATTAGACCATTCGCCTATCGGATGAATATGAGGAAAATCTTGACTCATGAACAATTCATTGGACGATTCTTTAACTCTCTAATTGGCATATCTGGACTGCCATCAAGCAACCCTGTTCAATTGCGAGACGTGGGCCGTAGCTGACCCTTGGTCGAATTTTGTGAAGAAAACCGTACCTACATTTCTTCCATTCTGAAGCAATCGGGCTATAGTTTGACGGGTTCTCAAAGCAGTATTTTCCGAAAAATGGTTTTCAACTGTATGCAATGTTAGTTAATTTCTTGTCCTCCGAGCGAAATACCAACGAGATTGATATAATTTTTAGAAAATAGAAATCACGTTTATAATCAAAAAAGTCAGTTTTTGTAAATTCACGAAAATATTGGAAGCTATAATTAAGTAACGATTTTTTAAATTTTTGAACCAACCAACACAAAATTTGAATCGTCATTAGCCATGCGATAATGTTAGAGGGTGCTTAGTTACCCCCTTGTCAAAAGAAAAACTATGAAGTTTCGAAAAACAGGTCGCAATCTTGTCAGTCTTCATGCACTGGTAAGTCGTATATTATTATCATTGGAATCAAATGTATATCTACATACCAACCCAACTTGCTATTAACAAATTTGCATTTTTCACTTGCAGCAGTAGGTATTTACAGTGGAGTAAAACTTTAATAAAAATCCAAGTAAAACTGCGTCGAAACACTATGATTGCAATAATTTTATATTAGGTAAACTCATTCCGCAAAAATTGAAAAACATCAACAAACAGCTTATTTATTGTAAAGCGGTGGGAGCCACAAAATAAGTTAACAAATAAATTAAGTACTTCCTAGTGCCAATTATAGATTTAGGTTTAGTATAACCTTGTTGCCTATTGTTAGATTTTTAATACCTAATTTATAGGGTAAAATGTAATGTCTTACATGTCATATGCAAGTACATGTGGGCATAAGGCACAATATTACATATTTATCAAAAATTGAAAAATTATGAAAGAGCATTAAGCTACAAAAAAAAATCTGAGGACCATTTCAATTTCCTTTATACTTAATCAAGTAAATCTCTGACCAAAGTGTATCGGACCTTGAAATCGCCACGAAATCGAATTTAACTTAATTATTACAGTAAAATAATTAATATCGGTTTCTGTATACTACATGGGCATGCACACATCGTACTGCATCTTTAATTTATAGATATATAATATTATACAGGGTGTCCACTTAGTTCGATATCGGACGATATTTCCTTACAGAGTGATGCAAGAAAAAAAATTAAATTACAAAGTTGTTTGATACTCTAATATGCAATAATTTAAAAAAAAATTGAATATACAAGGTGCTCCGTTTATGGGGTATGCGATAGAACTATACCCTATACAGAAATATACCCTATACCTAAGTTCAACTGTTTTGGAAATATTGACAGTTGAAAATTGACTTTTTGCAACTTTGACAAGATCTAAAACCTAAACGGTTAATTTTAGGCGAAAACCGATTTCATATTCCTATCTTAGATTTTTATAAAATCATTTGACACCAATTTTGAATTTAATCCATGATTAAAAATTCCGGTTAAATTTAATCTCCGGTTAAATTCAAAGTTGGTCTCAAATAATAGTTTATGAAAATCTAAGATCGGAATGTAAAATCGGTTCTCGTCTAAAATTAACCGTTTAGGTTTTACAGCCTGTCAAAGTTGCAAAAAGTCAATTTTCAACTGTCAATATCTTCAAAACAGTTGAACTTTGGTAAAGGGTATATTACATGAAATCTGCTCAGAATTTTACGTAGAATGCAAATATGCACTCACATACAGGGTGTTCCATTTAAAATAACAAAGTTCTGTCGCATACCCCATTACCGGAGCACCTTGTATATTCAAAAATATTTTTAACTAATGCATATTAGAGTATCAAACAACTTTGTAGTTTTTTTTGCTCTTGCATTACCCTGTAAGGAGATATCGTCCGACATCGCACTAAGTGGACACCTTGTATATTTCGCACAAAATAATTACCTGGACAATTTTTCTAAGTCAACTTACTTTACTTAGACCTCGTAGGAACCATAACATATATCAATTAATTATTATTAGTCAGAATCATTCTGTATTGAAAGCAAGCATTTGATTAATCACGGATTGGATCCAAATTTTTAACGAAGCATTAAAAATGCTCGGTCAGTATTATTGTGCATGAAATAGGACCCTAACAAGACTTTGCTAACATCAATGTCACATAGAAAAAATAGGTAATGATTTATTTGGAAAACTATTTAAACTGACTTTGGTTAATTTACATATTAAGAAATTGAATAAGAAAAACTACAGAAGTTAACTTGTGGAATTTTCGCAATTTTTTTTTGCATCCTCTGGATAATTCCTATTTTTAGATTATAAATGACCAAAGCTAATTATTAAAAATTATTTCCACAAATAGAATAGGGAATCTCATTCATATTCGAATAAATTTGTTCCTTTGAAATTGTAATTAATTTGTGATATTAAAAATGTGAATGTTTGCAATAATAATTTTTTTTAATCCATAATATCTAAATAAGAAAAAATCTGCACATATTTTGAATACATATACTTACATGACAAATGCTATTTTGCGCTAAATAAATTCTGTTATTGTAATAAATGCATTCTACTTTTTTATTAATTTAAAATAATATTTATCTAATTTTAATAAATTTTAATTCATCCAGTATAGTGTCATACATAAGGCGCAGAGCATTATTGAAATATTGTTTTACCTGGCAATTTAGGGATTATTTTATGGTACTCGTTATTGTGTTTTCAAAATTTCAAGCATATTATTTTCAAAAGTATGTTCTTTCACAAAAGGCCTTTTTAAATAATATATTTTCCTTTCTTTATTCCAATAGCCAGTGGACTCGAAACGTAGAAATGCTAGTGACCGATAAGGGACGAAAATAACCCCTTTGATGAGAGCCAGGGCTTTAGAAATTTGGATCTCATTTTAAATGAATCTCCCATTATATCCTAAATCAAAATGGAAAATGACGTAACCATATTTTTGGAAGTTTTACCATATCCACACAATGACCTTACTTTGGACACGTATTGAAATCATAATAAAATTTATTTAGTCAGTAAGTTGTGCTGAAACTGCCTAAAAAAGTAAGTTGCTATTATGTAATTATAAAAGCAACTTAAATTATTATAAATTAGTCAAATTATTTATATTGTTGATTATGAACAACTATGTTTACCTACCTATACTGAATTTTGTATAAACTTTGCCTATACCATTGATTTTTGAGTAGAATCAAAATCATATTCTTCGGCTTATTTTGTATTAGAACAATTTCTTGTACCTAATGATATTATTTTATGCCAATGAACCGTCGGCATATTTATGTAATAAAATGTAATGATTTTAAATGGTGACTAGCTGAAATACATTTACCTATTATGATTTTATTATCAAAAATGCTAGAAATAGTTTCAGAATAGCATTTCCAACAATTCCACCATTAATTCACTAAAGACAAAATTTATACCTATGTAAAAAACGTGCCTCATAACAATATACCTAATTCACAAAAAAAAAAATGTTATCAAGCTTATAGTATAGTTGAAAATGAGCCTAGTCAATATCAGAAAATACCTAAATTATTTTTGTCTCCTAATGTGTGAAATAATACCCTGATTTACGTAACCCGTTCATTAAAAGTTTTCCGGTTTGCGGGTGGATTATTATTATTATTATCATATAATCTATCTGCAAGCTAATACACGGGCTACGTAAATCACCCTGTATAAATAAAACCACATTTTAGTTTTAACACATTTCTGGTATTATAATTACATCAGCCAATGTAAACTATTTATTTATATTTATTTATTATTATAAATGTAATTTGTTCTTAACGTTTGAAACGTATTGTACCAAATCGTTTTTGCCTGTTTGTAGGCGTATTTTAAGTATTAGTTAATAATGTGTTTATGATTGTTTGTTGTGAACAATTAGAATGCATATATAAACAATGTGATCTATACAATCGTAAATACCTATGTAGTTTATTGAATAAAATGTGTATGTATTTGAATAAATGGAATTTTTATTGGTTCAATTAGAAGTTTGTTTGAATCATTTAAACAACGTAGCCACATCCTCATAGACCAATCTACCATGTTTGAAGCTGAATAGGGCCCGGTCTGTAGGCGGCAAATTTGAAGGGCGGCATTTTAGGTTGGAATGTGACAAGCCATTGTTGAAAGTTGTCGCAAACTAAAAAATTGATCAAAATTCATAATTTGAGTTTTAACACGTACACCGCCACCATGAGATGACCAAAACCAAGCCCTCAAGGCCACTCTTATATTATGTAATATGAACGCTTACTTCTCATATTTCTTGGCACAACTCAAACAAAAATTTTTTTTCGTGGGGCATAATTTTTTTCTGGCCCGTCAGGCCACACAAAATATCGTTTCATATAAATACAGGCAGCCTGTGACACTGCAGCAGTAACACAGACCCATATAGCATGATAGTCATGATACGTAGTGAGGCACATACGGCGAGTCACAATCCTTAAAGGTTATATTTTCTGAGGCACTAACTACGACTCTCATGGCAGTGTACGTGTTAATGTAAGGGAGTGCGTGACGTCACTAATTATAAGTTTCAAATAATACCACAAGATGGCACATTACCACACAATAGCACACTGTCTTTTATAAAGTTCACTGTAGTAGCGCTTGGCACCTGTTTATTTACGTCAAGTCAAAGTTATTCGAGATTCAACAGAAATTTATTCATCGCACGATTCAAACAATACGAAATTGACGTGGTAATAAGGCACAAAAATATAATTTTGACAGAGTTACATTAGACACACTCAGAATGACTGTGGGGATCTGCACCACACAATATTATCAATTACTGTTATTTCGAATTTCAACAGAAGGAGGTAAAATTGCACACAATTAACATACAAAAAACTTTTTATTTATTTTTTGCACACTTTCTCCTTCACATCCTTCAATCAGCTGGTTATCCCCCCACCAAGTCCTAGTCTTAGATTTTCGTCATTTTCTTCGGTTGGTAGCATTGGTCTGCAGATCCCTACACAGGATCCTCTTCAGTGGCTCCATCTGTTGACGATTCTCTCAAATACCCAAAAGTGACGTCAGCATTTTTTGACGTCTGTTTAAATTGGTGGGAACTGGAACTAATATCAAATTTGATTTTTTGTTGTTTCTTTAACTTTGGCCTTCATGTAATTATTTTTTTGTTACAAGGGTTTCTTTTCATTACATAAATTGAACAGTGCAATGAAAGTAGTTAAATTCAACTATGCTTAATCACCGGATTCTGAAGAAGACATATCTTTATGTTTGGGCGGCAATATATGAGGTGGCAATTTGTGTTTTTGTCTGGGACGACGTAAACGCTGGAGCCAGCGCTGGGCTGGGGAAAAGTTTACCTACGAACACTACTGTGAACGAAATCTCACTGCCTCCCATCTTTGTAGGTTCGATTACGCACTGGTTCATATACAGCAAATGCGTTCTCATATATAGAATACTTTCACACTCGCCGCTACGTCAAATTGTGTTCTCCAGCTTAGGGAAAACGCCACACCCTGGTATGATTCTAAACACTACCCCTTAGCTCCAAACTGTTCACCATGAACAGCTTGTTCCCATATACAAGTCGGTGTTTCCTTGGCTCTGTATAGGGCCAGCCTTTCTACGTGGATGACCTTTGACTTCATCCGAGCAAAGTTGAATCCAATGACCTAATATATCAGATCAGAGACTATCTTGTCTAGTAGTTCCTGGTAGGTCATTGGTTGAATCATGGGGACCTTCCCAAGATCTTTGTAATTTCGTTCTTCTTCCTTCATTGTGGATGATACAACCACTCGGCGTTGCCTTTATTGACGGTGTTCAACTGTTCAATAACTGCTGTTTATCAAGTCTTATGTTTTTTCACGTGAACTTCTTCTGGCGAAATCGTGTGATCTACTCTAAATCTCTCCTGGAGATCAGCCTTATAAACAGGAACTACTATGTGAACTGTAAAGTCTATTCAAATTCAAGGCATACTAAAACAAAAACCGCCAGACGCGTGATCAGTCTTTTGCAGGTGGACAGCACGGTTCCATCCGCCATCGCCAGTCGACCGCGTGAGCAGCCCATGAACAGCGGGTGATTGTGTTACAGTTACTTGGTCTTGGATTTGAATAGACTTTACAGTTACGTCTTCACCAGTTCACAGTATCGTTCTTGTATAGCCGGACAAGATTCATGCTGAGAACTTCTATAAGCCAGAGCCAGAAGAAATTTAAGCACCAGTATATTTCGGTTAGGCAGGTATTGTATTGATTGATGGCACGATATATCTCTGGCCCATCCGCTAGGACTGTGGATGACTAGTTCGATATTTCTGCTTTGATAGGTATGCAATTCCACGGGTACCTCTCAGGACTGGCTATGAGGTTTCCCATTTAGGATACCGCGACTAAAGGTAACTGCTCCTGGCCACTTCAATATATTTAAGTACTTATTTATCAACGGGAATATCCCAATTTTACAAAAAGACAATTGTAGAAAAAAAAATTAAAGAATAAAATGTTAAAAAAATCAAATACACGATATAAATACAAACGAGTATAGTCCATAAAAGCCATGATGCCCTCTCTGCGATATCCCGCCGACTACCTTCTTTTATCTCACCTCGGAATCGTTTTGGAACCTTTCTTAGAAGAACAACGGTATAGCATTTTGCTTTCTTCCGTGTGATATGCCTACTAGGGTTTTTCCATGTAGGCTTTGCAATTTAAGGGTGATTAGGTCCACGTGGGTACAACTAAGTAGATTCAGTATCTCATTGCCGTTCTGCCAAAACTGGAAGTCTCTTGCTATGTAGGTCGTTTACTGTTTACCAGCCACGCACCATTTCCAAGTCCTTGTTAGCATTCTGTTCGTCTTTGTTAATGTCCTTATTGGTATTAGTATCACATTCCTTATTCCTGGTTCTCATATCTGTTGAACAAGTCTAGAATTTTTGGCTGACTCCTGTTCTTTTTGCCAAAACTGCCGAGAGTTGTCAATACACGATATTTGTGATAAACTGTCAGCATTGGTTGGCATGATTTATCCCTTGGCGATGTTTGATTTCGAAGTTTCATTTGCGTAACTTCTCCAAGAAGTGAGTGAATTGTGCTTCTGAGGTTTTAAAATTAAGCAGCCATTATGCTGAATGGTCGGTTCTAACTACAAACTCTCATCTATACATAGAGAAAACTGTGGTAGTGTTCAATGGAAAAACTACTCACAAAAGCTCTTTCCGGATGACAAAAACAATAACTTATCTCTGTCTTCCCCAGGAAATTGCTAAAATATTTGATTTTTATTTATAGTGGGTCTGAACCTTGGGCCTGAACATTTCAATTCTTCTTGATTTTTGATTATACTTTCTCGGCTTGTGATTTTCATTGTATTATTGTTTCTTCTGTTGCCTTTCTTGATCTACTGAACCTCTTACCACATTATTATTCAATTGTTTTTTTTTACGCATTTTTTGACAGCCAGGTTTGTTTTTCAATAGCATCTCCCCTTGCAGTTTCTATTACTAATCTCAGTAATGGTTCATTCTGGAACGCAATAAAAGGCGCATTTTATAAAAAACGTTTATGAAGAAAGGTAATTTAACTGTCGATGGACGAGCCTAATAAAATGATTCAAATTCAATTTGTGATTGGCGAATATTGACAAAAATTACAAAAAAAATTCGAGCGCCAACACTCATCATGGGCATTTGACCATCCTCTCCAATGGCGTATCTACGTATTTCTGATGGGTTTCAGCCTCCAAAAACTGGATAACGGCACGCCAATCAACTTTTGGGCGGTTTTTCTATGATAGATGAATGGTGCCATTTTTCAACTCATTAGGCGCAAAGCTCATAAAAAGATTAAACTGCATATATCAGACGCCTCACTATGGGTGTTCCGAAACTATTGTGCCAAAAATTGAGGGATGATAGATCGCGCCAAAATAAACGTTTTTTACTTATAAACACATAGGCGCATGCGCTTTGGTTATGTGATAATAGAACATTACAGGTCGCGCTGTGGTAGCCACCTTACACACGGAGATACGTGTTTGAAGCGGAAACTGTGTTATTAAATTATGCAAAACCCAAGGAATGCTTGCAGTATTTACTAAAAACAATGATTCACAGCAAAAGATGCTCAAAGCTACTACCACCCACCTCCATACGTACGTAACAGCGCCGTAGCATAGCCTCCTGAACACGTTTCATGGTGTTTCGAGAATTTCAGCAGCTGCTGCAACAATCCTTCTTATTAATTTCCTCTAGCTGTTTCAACTGGAGTGTCGTAAACAAGAGCTTTCATATGACCCCATGAAAAAAGTCGCATTCCGTCAGGTCTGGTGAACGTGGAGTCCATGCCCCCTTAACAATCACTCTTTCCAAATGTTTCGTTGAGATGTTCCCCTAAAGCTAACAAGTAATGTGGTGGTGGTCTGTCGTGTTGGTACCCTATTTTTTGCCTGGCATACAAAAAAACAGTTTCGGGAAGGGTATCTGCAGAAATCTACTCAATATTTCTGCTACAACGCTGTTACACACGAATTGAGGCGGGTGGTCGTAGTTTTGAGCATCTTTTGATGTGAATCATTATTTTAAATAAATACTGCAACCATTCTTTGGGTTTTGTATTACTTAATACCACAGGTTCTGCTTATTCAAACCCGTTTCTCCGTGTGCAAGGTGGCTACCACAGTGCGGACTGTAATGTGCCATTATGACCTAACCAAAACGCATGCGCCTATGGGTTTATAAGTGAAAAACGTTTATTTTGGCGAGATCTATCATTCCTCAATTTTTGGCACAATAGTTCCGGAACACCCTGTATAATATTTGAAATGGAAGAAAAATATTATTAATTAACCCATGTATTGTATTATATAAAATGCTGCACATAAAAAATAAATTATGTAATACGGTTCCAGACATTTGCAATGTCATTATGAAACTTTTGCATTTCTTTCGTCGTTTTTAACAAAAAAATCGTATTGAAATAAATTAAAATTCAATTTTCATTTTTTTTAAATGTATGCAAGTCTACATATTATTAATAATGTATGGCAAACTATAGGTTTTATAGTTTTATGCAACTCTTTGATGAGTTATTTTATTACTAAGTTTGTTGATAAATAATATGAATATTATACCCTTCCTGTTTTATTTAAAGCAGGCCTATGGATATCTACAGAATATAGCGCTAACCATCTACCTAATTTAGTGGAAAAATATCTCAGTGGCAACTGAACTTGCTAGACAGAACTAAGAAATTTGTAAAAATCAATATCAACTTTAAGTAAAACTGTAACTAAATTTTGGCGACACAGATAATTTAAAAAAATCTCATTATTTTCTAGTTATCCAAGCTTTCACCAATTGTGACGGTAAGTATATGAAAAGGACTCATGCACAATGCTGCACTACCATCAGAAACACACTTTTCGGGCATTCTTCGATGAAATGTGAGAAAAATGTTCCAATAAATATCGTCGGTGTCAGGTTTTTCCGCTCATATCCACCGCTATTGGGTATTGGAATTGGAAAACCGAAAAGCAGAGTCACTGCATTTCGCTGGTACAACGACGAGCTCACAGAAATGCGGGCCAACTCACCAGTTATTTCCTTTTCAATCACATACCGGAAGCCTAGCAAATTTATTATAGCTGGAGGATACAAAAGATCTTAATTTATACCTTATGTCAATTGTTATCGAAAGACATTCAATTTTTGCTTTAATTATGTGTCTCTGTCTTCCTTGACTTTTAAGTTCCAATATAAAGCTCATGTTCATGTTATAATAATTTAGATATTTTATCCTTGCGCATAAGAAATATATAAAAGAATAAACTTAACTAGGTCTATTATTATCAACGTAACCACGTAACTGGATCAATTCCGAGGTGCGAAAAAAAAAACGAATTTTAAAAAAGATTTTTCATGTTCAAATTTTATCGCTGCCGAATATAATATGTAAAGTATAAATAATAAATAAAATATTAGTGAAAATGTTATTAATTTGTCAATAAAAATAGTGCTATTTGTAGGTTTATTAATTAATAAATAATTGGTAAATAAATGGTAACTGGTTATAATTGACCGAGAAAATAATCATTAAAAGCTGACACAGAAAATATTTTTAAAATGTACACTTGAGAATCAAATTCTATCTGGATCTATTGATTTAAGTATATTAGTTAGCAAATTATTTTTTGTCTTTGTGTTGGGATCCTTTTGGGATTCTAGTACGTAGGTACCCACTAAACATGTAATGTTGCAAAATTTGTCGGCAATATTGTATTGACCTTGCTTTAGAAAATTTATTAGGTAATGTGACGACAAGCTTTCCAAAATATTACTTATCCAATGTAAAAGAATATAGATTTGATATAACTTCAATAGAGAAACATTAGTTTTAGTTATAAAGTAAATGTTGCAGTAGATACAATAATGTATTACATTCGAAACATTATAAAATGTAAGTAAAGCAAATATTATAACAATGTTATAAAATGTAACTTTTCTCACTGTCGCTTCAATGTTGCGGAAATATTTACATTTGTAACATTAAAAAAATATAATAAAATAAATGGTTGCATAAATATTATAAGCTCAACTTTTGTTAAAACTGTCGCTGTAATGTTGCAGATATCTTTACATGCCTACGTTAACAGTTTTAAGAATAAAAAACGTTACCTAAATATTTCAACATAAACTTTGGAATAGGAAACATAAATTTTCTCAATGTTGCATAAAACTTGCAGATAGATTTTATTTGCAATATGCTGTCTATGTCTCTGTCATGCAAAAATATATTTGACTGACAAAGACGGGACAATTGTTTGGGAATTCGGAACGACGCAGACGCACCATCCATTTGTTGTTGACGCCACGCCACCAGGACGGAGGACGCAAACGACGCTGTGTTTTTCTTGGCTTGGCTTGATAAATAATAACAAAGAGTTTGAACAGGACGAAAGGGTTCATCAAGATGTTGAGATGTTGGGATAGGAAGAGAATAAAGCCAATGTAAGATTTCACCATTTTAATTTTTTGTGCTTTTTCAATACTGTTTAATTTTTAATTTTAGATGGATTTTTACAATAAATATGATGGAGGAATCGAGGCATGTGTGATAAGATCAATTGGAAATCGGAAGTTTAATAACTAACCATTGTACCCCGGTCTGTAGTTGAACTTGGCGAGAAGGGAAAAATAAAAGATCTTGCATTAATGCAAATATAATAAATATCTATCATATATACAATATTTTTCATTATATAAATTTCTGTAAAGCACCAATAAAAATATTGCAACTGTAATATTTACCTAACTTTATAAACAACGTTAAATGCAGGTTTCTGTAAGCTAGCATTTTAAATGTTACAAACGTAATTTATTTTTTATGAAAATACAAGATTGAGGCAATATTGCAGAAAAGTTTAATTTGTAAATATTGCATTTGTGAATATTAGAATAAGTCCGTTTCAGTAATTGCAGCAACCTTGCACTTATATAGCAGCAATAAAAAATGAAATATTACAATATTACCTAGAAACATTACTAAAATATTAAAGCAATATTACATTGCTTAGTGAGTAGGTACCTACCTATTTCTGTTTTATATAGAGGCTTTACGAGATTTATTTCATGGCTATAACGCCATGGAAAATTCTATTGTGAAAATTTTCTGTATTACTTGGAGGGTAATAATATGCGTCTCTACATTTAGGTACCTATATTGTGCCCGCTTTGGCCGCTTTTATGTAAATATCCAAATGAAACCGAAACCTACCTACCTCCGGCAGACAGCAACATTTGGCTTCAGCCTCTATGGTGGAGCGCTTACTTGGCTATGCTACAGCCTAAAAATGAAGTGACCTTCTCGTTGAAAGCGCATTTTTAATCAATATTTTCATAGTTTCACCTCTCGAATTCTGGTACACTAATTTTTCTACACCATGTATTTTACATGCTTTTAGAAAAAGATGCGGATACACTCAGTGCGCACGGATTGGCAAATGGAAATCGCCATGCCCATTAGTCCTTAACGCGGAGACATGCATAGGCGCATATAGCAAACTCTAGAAAATTAAATTGCTGTTATAATGTAAACAAATCAAATTATTGAGGCTATACTAATAAAATTACCAATAAACATCACGAATAAATTGATGAATTCAGTTGACAAAATTCGTTTGGACCAAATGCCACTTAAAATCTAGTGAAGTGCATTTATTTCGCATTAAATTTACAGTGGAATAAAATAAAATAGTCCTTGACAGCAAAACTTTGATTGCATTATTTTACTGCTCACGTTGATGTTACCCTCCGACACAAATTTATAAAATTTTATAGTAGGTCTGTTAGATTTTCTTTGAGGAACTTCAGGTTATGAAAGAATTAATGGAAAATTGATTCAAGATAAAATAAAAACCACTGTAAGTTTTTTAATCACAAAAATCAAAAGTTACCTTTTTGGTTTTGTTGAATGGGTAAGGGTACGTACCGAATTATTTCGGCAATATTCTAGACGTTTGGCAACTCATCCCTGCCAAAAGATAGTAGTAGTGGTAGGTACCCTATCCAAAATCTCTAGAAAAATAATAAAATGCTTAATTTTATTGAGTTTTTGGATATATTCGTCCGTTCATCCCACGCCGATGATAAACACACTGCTAGAAGATTGTAGATTTTCTCGAGAAAAATAATAAATAATAAAAACCTTATTTTTATCATTTTTATTCAGTTTATGAATATTTCTAACTCTTCATGTCCTACCGATTACCGATTCTAAAACTATTCAAGAGAGTAGGTACCTACATATTTTAGAACACTTTATTCAGTTTCTTCCAAACGATAGTAGCGGTACCTAATCCAAAATCTCGAGAAAAAAAAAACCTTAATTTTATTAAGTTTTTTGGTATTTCCAAACCTCCTTCCAATAACGATTTCAACGGTTCAGTGCGATTAATGGGTCAATTCTGTGCACATCTGTAAGCATTTCTATAAATTTCTATAAGCCTCAGCGTATAGCTGCCTAAAGACAATTTGTAATTCTGCACTTCTTGTAGATTACAGAATATATTATAGGATCATAAATATTTTCGATGGAGTGTTTGGCAATCGATGCGTTTTGCACTTAGGTTTTGCAGTGTCTATAGGCTTATAGAAATTTATAGATTTCCTTACAGATGTGCACAGAATTGACCCGTAAGTATTTGAAAACAATTGTTATGGTGTGGATGCATGCTTCCGCTTCCATAATTTTTTTGTGACTAATTTTAAGTTTTGCGACAATGACAATTGATAATAATAGGTGAGTAAGGTAAGTGGTGGTAGATTTTGTAACAGAATATGTCCTTTGCACGCAGCAAATAAGAAAGTTCCATCTTATTCAACTCAAAAATAAAACAAACAAACCATTCTAAATAGATATATATTTTTCAACCCCAAATAGAACATTTAAAAAAAATATAAATGAAAAACAATAGTTAAAAATTTTGGAATGATAAAATATGAGGACATTTCTTTTGAAAAATAAACAAGCATACCAATAATAGAGAAAAATATAGGAAAAATTTCATAATTTCAACACTTCCTGAGCTGCCAAAGCAATGTGTTTGGCCGAAATGCCATAAAGGTCCAGAAGAACATCTGAAGGCCCTGACCTTGGCAACTTTCCAATGGCCAAGTGCTTGACAACAATGTTTCTTTCCAAAGCAGTAGCAGAAAACACGGCATCTCCTAGACCACCTTCGTAGTAGTGGTCTTCAGTAACTACTGCACGTCCACCGGCTTCTTTGATGTTTTTAATGATCGTTTCTGTATCCAGTGGTTTCACAGTAAATGGATCAATGACTCTGGCATGAATTCCAGCTTTGGCAAGCTCTTTAGCTGCGGTTATGGATTCTTGAAGAGTTATTCCTGCCCCAATCAATACAACTTGATCTTCAGGGGATGAAACCAGTACATTAGCTTTGCCAACCTAAAATAAAACATTTTTGATAAGATAGGTATATTAGGTTTTGGGAAATATTTTGTAATCTAATTAAAAAAAAAATAAAAATTTTTACTTACAGCAAAAACGAAATCATTGGGATAGACTACAGAAGTTGTAGGTCTATTCACTCTAGTGAATGTAATGCCTTTAGTGTTAGCAGCGAGTTCAATAGCTCTTTCAGTTGAAACAGCATCAGCGGGATAAAATATGGTACTTCCATTTACTGCTCTAAACATGGCTAAGTCTTCTAGACCCATTTGGCTGGGACCATCTTCGCCGATACTGACACCGCAATGGGAACCGACAAAGTTCACATTTGTTTGGGAAATTGCTCCCATTCTAATCTGATCAAATGCTCTAGTTAAGAAACACGCAAAAGTTGAGACAAATGGCACGGTCCTATCTCTGCAAGCTGCTCCAATTGCAGTGCCAACCAAACTTTGTTCGGCTATAAAACATTCAATGTACCTTGCCGGGTCCACTTTCAAAAGATTTTCGGAAAATGTTGAATTTTTCATATCACCGTCCAAAGCGATTACTCTTGAATTGTTTTTAGCGATTTTGACCAAAGCAGTACCTTGAAAGAAATTACATTATCAACAACCAAAAATGAAAAATTGACACCACTTACCATAAGCTACCCTTGTGGCAATATTGTCACCTAATTTGTAGTTGGGCGGAGAGCTGAGTTTAATGTTGCTAATATCAACAACAGGAGCATCATCTTTGAGAGGTTTATGTGGATGAATTTGTAGGGGACCTGGATTGGTGATTAATTTTTTCAGATGTTCAATAACCCTATCAGTTTCGCCACCCAAAGCTTTGCCATGCCAATTTTCCAAGTTTTCAATCTAGAAAAATTTAATAAGCATCATGTATTCAAAGGATTAGGAAAATCTTTGTAGTTGTTTTAGTTGATAAAGCCAATTTAAGGCAAGCCTCATCAATGTATACTTCACGAAATTGAAGCGATAATCCGCTTCCATATCAACAAGGGTATAAGATGTTTAAATCTGGAAAACTCCTACAAAAAACAAGTTGCGAGGCGTCAGCTGAGCTTAAAATGTTGCTTTCTTTACGTTTGAGAGGCAAAACTGGAAAAAAGTGACTGCCTCATTATAAATTAAAACAGAAAGGACAAAGCAGACAATGAACTTCACAATATATAACCGTATCGCCAAGAGTTAACTCAGAAAGTGAAAACAAATTATATATACCCTCAACTCTTACTGCTCACCATCTAATTTCAATAGTAAAAAATACTATATAAGATCAATAGTTGAAAATAGACGTTTTCATGCCCAGAGTTAAAAAAATATACGAGAAAAAGATAAATGTGCAGAGAAGAAAAATAATTATTAGACCAACAGTAAATTATTTGGATGAAATTTTTTTCACCAAATTGTGTTTGAATGAAGCACTGCTGGTAGCCTGGCCAAATAAATAAAAGGTTTATTTCACATGGAGAATCTGGATTAAAATTAAATTAGGATTAGAAAGTGAACTAATGTACAGGGTGGCCCGTTTAAGAGGGGCCTATACCTTATCTCGAAATCTATCTACAAGGGCTATAAAAAAAAAACTTAAATACAAAAGTTGTTTCTAATAAAATTATCTACAACTTTTTTGTATTGTTTTTGTTGTCACTCTACCATATATAGGGTGGACAAATAAAATTTCATTTTTTTTAATGGAACAACCTATATTTTTACATAGTCCTTTAAAAGGAAAATCCAACGATATACTGGTCATGTGTCTGTGATATACCGTTTCGAACTTATTAGCGATTATCTTCAGGATTTGGGGTAATTTTCAACAGTCATTGTTACGTTACTCATAAACTTTTAAAACATTTATCTTTCATGATAATCTCTATAAAATAATGCTCTTCTTTAGACTATATTTAAATTTGAATTAATTGTTTTAAAAACGCGGTGTTGTCACGTTTCGCAAAATGTTACGCTTTTCATTTTTTTTAAACGGTACCTCCTGTAAATTATTGAGTTTTTGGATAGCTCTTCAAAAGACAAATTTAACGATATACTGGACATGGATCTGTGATGCACCGTTTTGGCCTGATTGGCTATTATCTTCAGTTCTAGCACAATATCTCATGTCATCCCTGTTGAATGAAAAAAATGTCTAATTTTGTAGTAGATTAGCTGAAATAGTGCTTTTTATGCATTAATGGTGGCATTATTGAACAATTTTTCACACATTGATAAAGCACGTTAATAGATAGTCGACGGAAAATAGACATGCATGTTTGTTAATCACCGGGCGACTTGGACAGATGAAATATTATGCTAGAACTGAAGATAATTGCCAATTTCGGTTTGAACAATACCTGCCACTTTATAATCAGTGGTTCATTTTAAACACGATTCTATAAAAACAATGCAGGCAAATAATTTTCCACAGGAATGCGAAGGTAGGCTCTGGTCTAGAAGGTGTCAGCAATTAGATCCTGTATAGATTTTGTTCAGGCACAGAAGATAAAAAAAAAATAAGCTAATACTGAATTTGTATGAATCACTTACCTCGGGGAAGTTTTTACCCTTAAAGGTCTTAGCGACAATAGCAGTTGGTCTGCCTTTAGTACTAGCAGCTGTGTGGAAAGCCTTTACCAAATCTTCTACATCGTGACCATCAACGATGATAGCTTGCATTCCAAATGCTTCTAGCCTCTTTCTATAGTTTTCGAAATCATGGCCCATGGAAGTTTCTTGTGATTGTCCAAGACGGTTGACATCCAATATGAGGCAAAGGTTGTCAAGCTTATAGTAGCTTGCAAAATGAACTGATTCCCAAAAGGAACCTTCTGCGCTCTCACCATCACCGACTAGACAATATACCCTAAAAACACAATATTTTGCTTATCAACTAGGGAGGCAAACCTAACTAGGTATTCGTTTTGTTTGAATGAGTTCTTGATGGTTGGTATAACAATTTTGCAGAAGAGGACTTGGAGTTCGAAACTAACTGAATATATTTAGGACAAAATTCTACCTGTAGTTCGCTTTGTCATAATTCTTTCCAACATAAGCCATACCACCGGCCATGGACAATCCTTGCCCTAAAGAACCAGTAGCCACATCAATAAAGTTCAGTCTTGGCGTAGGATGACCTTCCAGGTCAGAGTCGATTTTCCTTAAATTCTGCAAATCCGTTACTGGAAACAAACCAGCTTCAGCCCATGCAGCATAAAGGGCAGGAGCGGCGTGACCTTTTGACAGAACAAATCTGTCACTGGATGCATCTTTTGGTGCTGATACTTTGTAGCGCATTGTATGGAAAAATAATACTGATAATATTTCGGCGATGGAAGCGCATGATGTAGGATGACTGGAAAATAAAACAAAATTTATTTAACTCACACAAATTGCACATGAAGGAACTTCAATTATTCGAAAAAAATTAATAACTGGTTATATCTTAGCTATTTCAACCATGAAATTGATATTTTTAAGAGAGGGTAGGATTATATAGCTATAAATTCATTGAGCTGTGACGTTCTATGAGAAAATAACCAAAAGTTAACTTAAGTAATGGGCATGAAATTCCAGAAGTTAACTTCAAGTTATTGGTCAAAATAGTTTTATAATACCATTAATACCCGCCCTTAGCGCCAGTTTCTCAATAGCGAGTCACCCCCGGGTTAAGCATAGCTCCAGGGTAAACATTGCAACTGGACACATTTACCCTGGAGTTAAAACCAACCCGGAGGTGAATCGCTATTGAGAAACTTTTAAGAGCAATTCTAGTTTTGCATTTGGTTTCATTTAAATAATGAAGAAAGTGTTTTAATGCTGAACTAGGTAATTCCCTTAGCAGAAACGTATGAGGTGAAGACTGCCAAGTTGAAGTCCAAAACGTAAGGATTAGAAGGAAAAGCCGCCAGTTATAATAAACAAATTAAAAATTATCTCGATTTTATAGAATTTACACATTGAATTTGGACCATCAGACTCAATTCCCGCAGGCTTTTTGTTATTTTCATTGTTCTCAACATTTCTTTGCCTTGGGCAGAAATATGTAAGTTATTATTAGTTAGAAATATAACTCGTTAGAGGGTGAATGCCAATGAATCCAATGATGATGAGTTAGAATTAATTAAAAAGTAGTTTAAAAAATAATACAGTGGATTTTTTCAGCTATCCAAATTCGATAATGGTGAGCTTTCTAAATTTATAACCAGCAAATAGTCAGAACCTGAATAAAAGTGAAATCATTTATTTTGTCTCAATGGCCAACTACTAAGAAAGGATACAATGCAACAGAAAGTATATTTCAATTTACCCTTGACAAATAATGAAGGTAAGGTCCCCTCTTCTTTGCAAGAATACATAGGGTTAGGTAAAAACGCATATGCTGGGCTATACCCTAACACATTTGGCATTCTGCAATTTCAATCAGGGAGGGGTTGTTCCGCGGGGAACGCAATTTTTCTGAAATAGGTCTATTTCGTTAGTTATTCTGAAATTACAAATTGATTGCTTGGTTTAACTTGATTACCTGCTTGTTAATTGTATTATAAGATTAGCTCTGGACTGTACAGGGTGTTTCCTGATATTTTGATCCCTACCTACAGCTTTAGCTATATGAGGTGGAAAAAAACTTTAAATATGATAGTTGTAGGGTTTTATGTCTATTATCTTTTGCGAATGTCAAAATGGGCAAATGACAGGTACCAACTGTCACAATGACAAACACTTGCATTTTTCAGATGGACACCCTGTATATTTTTGGCTAGAATGATAGATTTTTTTCTTCTGATTCCAAATATACCATATATGTTGATATTTGGTTCAGCTGTTTTACGTTACGCATTTGAAAAATGCAAGTGTTTGTTATTGAAGAGTTGAAAAAGATTATTTCTGAAGACCTAAATCTTGTGAGCTGGTGTGACTCTAACTTGCTTTGTTTTAACTCTAAGAAAACCAACATATTGACATTTAAAATTTTTTTTGATGATTTATTATTAGACACACACACAATTGAAAATAAAACTAGCTGTAAATTTCTTGGTGTTCATGTTGATACTCAACTTAAGTTTAATGAGCACGTTACAAATCTAAACAAACGATTGGCAAGTGGTTGCTATGCTGTAAGAATAGCGTCAAATGAACTTGGTTTGAATACTGCTAAGTTGGTTTATTTCTCGTTGGTTGAATCTCATATCAGGTATGGCATTGCATTTTGGGGTAACTGTTCTAATAAATTGTTTGATTCTGTTTTTGTCATTCAAAAGAGAGCAGTGCGCTATTTGTGTAAGGTTGGATATTGGGAGCATTGCAAGCCACTATTTTTAAAACATAAAATACTTACAGTATGCTGTATATTTATCATGGAAACTGCTTGCCTTATGCACAAAAAACATTATGATGAGTTAGAATATCCAAGAACTTATCCAACTAGGCAACTTCTTAAAATTCAGCTTCCTATACCCAAGACTGCATTGACGCAAAATTCACTAATTTATAAAAGTAGGCAAATTTTTAATCATCTGCCTGTTAACTTAAGGCAGATAGGTGGTTTTAAAAAGTTTAGACTAGAGCTCAAAACATTTTTACATGGAAAAGCCTACTATCATATTAATGAATTTTTAAATGAAAAATTTTAATTTTGTTTGTTTCATTGTTTTGTTTTGTTCTGACCGCAACCTTTATGTTTTTTCTGTATTGGCTGTACCTTCTATATGACTCTATAGTTTGATGTAGTAAAAATTGTACATGTGTTGCTTAGGATTATGCTTTGACATTTATGTTTATGTTTATTTTTTATTTTATTGATTGTACCTCTTTTTTTTTATAACCCGATAATTTTTAATTACCTACTTGCACATTATTTAAGATCATGCTTTGTCAATGAAATTTATTTTCCGTCAATAAAGTATATTTTGATTGATTGATTGATTTGTCATTGTGACAGTTCGCACCTGTCACTTGCCCGTTTTGACATTCGCAAAAGATTAAAGACATAAAACCCTACAACTTTCATATTTAAAGTTCTTTTCCACCTCGTATAGCTAAAGCTGTAGGTAGGGGTCAAAATATAAGAAGCACCCGCCTGTACCTACATAATATGTGAATATTTAATGATCTCACATACTCACAAAATAAATATAATAGACCTTATCCAAAGTCTTTTAGACATATATTTAAATAGTATACACTTTGAATATTACAAAATTTAAAATCCCAAGACATTGCTTGCATTTGTGTATTAATTTTTTCTTCTAAATATTTGATGTGAAAATAAATCAAAATTAAAACAATCAGTTATTAGTGTAAACTTTAAGTTTCTTTAATGCCTTTGAATGCCTGAGCTTCATTTAAAATGAAATCCGGTCCTGACGCCTGATCTGGATCTGTCCTGTGTGAATAAAATAAATCAGATAGGATGGATATTTATTTTACTTATATTGGGCATGGGTATGGTATTGAAAAAAAGTGTGCTATAGGCATCAAGGTTACTTTATTGATCCTTCACAATTTGATTAAGATGAATAAATTATTATACTAAATTTAATATTATTTTGTTAAGAAAAATCCTTGCAATCCCCCTATGTTATTCTTGCGGATCAGTAACTGATTGATTTTATTAGGTTAATTAGCGATCCCAATACAGTACATGTTAATAAAGGTGAAATCGGCAAGGTTATTAACGTAGGTAGACGAAGACAAAATACCTATATGTTATTAAAGAGAAGACATTTTGAAAATTTAAATATCCAAATGAATGGTAATGGCAAAGAATGTAATGGCCTAGATAAAATAGAGAACATCAAATATTTTCGATTTATTATTGGCAGAGGGGTCTTTATAAAATAAAAAATTGTTTTGGTGCGGATGGCATGCGCGTTCCTCATTCGGCAATTCAAACCACGTGACACTCAAGATGGCGTGGCGGCCACACATGAGCCAAAAAACACAAAAAAATATCTAATTTCTGCCCGATTTCATAGTTTAGGTACCTAGTCAACAAATATTTTAATAAATAATCAAAATCAAAGTTGCAAGCACAACTTGAAGCAAAATAATTTAAAATATGCATAAAAACATAGTCAAAACAAACTTGCTTGGCCGCCACGCCATATTGAATTTTCCTTTTTGACAGACGGATTGAATTGCCTAATAATTAGTGCCAAGAAATTCACACACGAGTGATATAGTAGTCATTTTTTTAATATGAACTTATCTACCCTAAACCTACTATTTAGAATTCCACAGTTCCTTAACGAAATAAACAGTCCTTTTCCTTTGAGACTAATGGATTTGTTTTAATTAGATTAGATGTTGATCATTTATAATATGTGAATACCTACATTGATTTGAAGTATTATGGTTAAAATATAACTAAGCTGAAAATACACACATTTTGCATTATAATTATATACCTACCTAATGAAAAAGTTTTATTGATCACCATATACCTATAGATTACAATACAATGATATAACATACTATTATTACACTTTTGTAGGTACCTTAATATACCTATACCTAAGTATATCAATTATAACAGGTATTCATTAAAACAAAGGTCAATATACCTATACCTACATATTCGGTTATTGTCGAGGCGAGGCTCAGAAATTTATTCAGCAGGCTATTAATGCAGTAAATTTTTTATCAAATTCATAGAAATTAGAATTTTGGAAATTCATTCAATTAGGTAATGTTATTTTTTTTCCCCAGCCAGCTAATAAAAATAAGTAAAAATAATAATAATAGTAATAAGTATTAAGTAATTTATATCACTAGATAAAATTAATATCAATGTTTGCCTCCTAGATAAGCAGATTTAGTGCCGGTTGACCTGACTTACGTCCTTACCGCATGGAAATTTACAGAACAAAAAAAAAACTTACCCGGATTTAGCGGCTTGTGTGGATGTCACCGAGTGAATTCTAATCTTATTGGCAATGTCTCTAAGTTCTTGAACGACTTTGGCTTCCGGTTTGTGGTAATTAGGCATGATGGATCAGGCAAAAAATCAAATTGGTGAGCAATTTAATACCGCGCCGTTACACTCGGTGTTCGCTACAAACTGAAATATGAATGCGCGACCCTCGACTTGAATCCACAAGTAGTTGTTTCGATTCGATATTCGGCGTGTTCCGCCGCTCAATCTCAAGGTCGAGGATTTTAACAAGCTCCGGTTTTCAAGTCAAGCTGAAGCATAGGCCTATATTAAACGAAGCAATTGTTCAATTCTAGATTCACTCGTGAAATTTCTATAAACCTGTGAATCAATAGCTTACGCGGTGATCTGTGATCTTTGGGTTTATGGGCTGTACTATACTAGGAAGCGCAACATTGTAAATGGTCTATATACAGGGTAAGTTACTAAGCGCGCGGTGGTCCATATATCTCCTATACTAACGGAGATCGAAAAAAAAATTGAATACAAACTTGTAGATAAACATGAGTACTATATTCCAAAATTATTTTTTGGTGGCCTATTATAAGTAGTGGCGACACAAAGTTATGTTTTTTTTAAATTACTCTTCCTGTATATTTGCACATACCTATACCTTTGGCAATCTGCAACATAATTTGGTTTTTGAATAGAACATATTCGTAGTAGTTACTTTTTGTTTCCGTATGACTCAGCATCAGAAAACGAGTAAATTTGATTGATACAAGCTTCTCAAAATACAAAGAATATACAATACAAGAAAATAAATGTTGCATTTTTATATCAGTTAGAATGTTTACTATCTATTCTTATCAGCACACTTTTTTTGCCTTATTCCTAAAAAATACGGTCTTGTCCCGCTAGAATTCAAATCCGCATCAGTGTGCGCCGCCGCTCGCGCCGCCATATTGTAAAGATGGCGCCCAAAATCAGTTTTTTCGCAGTATCCTCTTTTCAGTACGCCCTACGTGAATGATAGCTATTACAAAAGTTATAGAGGGAAAAATTTCCTACAACATTGTTCCATTAATTTTTTTCGTGCGATCAATAGTTAGGAGTTATATTGATATAAGTAAGGGCAAATTATTTAAATTGATAAATGCAAAAAAGGATGCGTGTCAAATGCAGCTGCATAAAGGCAAGTTTGGATTGATTGGTCATTTGCATGTTCTATAACGGAGATTCTTGCGAGAACGTTTCTTATATTTTTAGCGGCTCTGATGACGAAGACCTAGATGCAGATTCTGAAGAAGAGGAAACAAAAGAGATGGACAACAAATACCTACAAAGCCACTGTTGACGAAAGCAAACCTGGCCCATCCAGAATATCGAAGCGGAGAAAACTATGAAGTTTATTAAACATATGAATAATGTGGATTAGGCGTACTGGTGAAGCATCAAAACGCACGGATATTCTACGTCAGGGTGGCGTGGAAACGAATATAAGTGATAATTACTGATTATGTGAACAAGAATAACAGACCAACTGATTACGCACGCTATTTAGGAATACCTCACATGAAACTTGTAGAGAATTTCCTTGTCTACATTTCTTATTATAACTATTTTTTGGCTGGGAGGTACTGGTAGACAGATGTCAAAAAACTGCGAAATAAGTGATTTTGGACGCCATTTCTCGATATGGCGGCGTGAGCGGCGGCTTGCCAAGGTCGCAAATGAAGTATGTAGCTAAAGTTTTATATTTAGTTTTTTCTTCGATCTCCGTTAGTATAGGAGATATGGACCACCGCGCGCTTAGTAACTCACCCTGTATATAGGAAGTTATAATAATCTTGCTTACCGATGAGCACGTGGAAGATCGTAGCACTTGTAGTATTACTCATCGTAGGAATTTCTAGAACGTCTTCTTGGAGGATAAATATTGACCTCCTGGGCCAGCGGTCATGTTTCTGGGGTCATGATTCTTGTTCCCAGTTTTTCTGTATTCGCTTGCCGATCTCCTTCAGGTTCAAAGATGGTTTGATGTCCATTCTCTAATTGATTACTTCTTATAGTTCTTATAGCTGGAAATCCAGTCTTGATCCTTCCAAATCGAATGCGTATTCTAACAGGAACTTATTCACGCTGATAAATTCTAACGTGCTTGCGTTGAACTAGGCATGATTGTCTGAATCTGGTTGTAAAGCAATGTTTCAGCACGATGTTTGATTTAAAAATGGTACTACTGATGTAACTTTCCTATCGAAGGCTGAGAGTCACCAAAAAGTAGAGCGATATTTCAGCTGTACTCTACAGTCACGTTTGAAATATCCTCTTCTTCCACAGCGGACGGAGACTCACCAGAAGGAGGTGAGAGAGATCTCAGCCGTAATCTACAGTCACGCTCAAAATTCCCTTTTCATCCAAAGCGGTATCATTCCGTGCCCCTTTCAAGTTCCCTTGTTTGATTTGGATAGCAACCTTTCGTATTTCTTCCAGAAGCTCCCTCATTACATCTTCAATTTCCTCCATTGTTTTTTTTTTTCTTGTATCGACACACATTAAAGCAGAGCAGAAAATCGATTTTGATTGAAAAAGAAGAAAGAATCTGTTGGAAATTACTTGGAAAGGATATCTAAGAGATTTTAGAAAGTACAGAAGAGAACAAAGGAACATTTATCACTTGGGTTAAAGAAGGATACAGGACACATAGTAAATAAATTCTGGCAGATAAAAATATCCAGAATTCTCACTAGGCATTTGTGGTGCCTTCCGACTCGCTTAAAAATGCCTCCGGTGAGGGCCGCAGGTTAATATTAAACTCACATTAGTGGCGACAGAGGCTTTTCAAATGGAGGTTGGCTTGAATTCGAATGAAAAACAACCAACGATTGCCATGAAGAAATGACAGCCGATGTTTTTCAAGACTATAATGATGGGTAATTGAAGACAAATGTGAGATCATCGTTAGGACAAAGAATGAGGCAAAAGTCTTGATTTTTATATAAAATTAAAGAAGATTGTGAGAATCAAGACTTTTGCCTCATTTTTCGAAGACTACTTCTATGAAATGATAACATCAATTCCTAAAGGTTCCATCATTGTCATGGACAACGCCAGCCAGACTAGCAGAAAAATTACCCTCATGTTCCTGGCGGAAAGAAGATATTCTAAACTGGCGAAATGAAAATAAAAAATTCTATGAAAATGATATTTAAAAAAAAAAGAGGCTCCTAAAATCACAGTTCAAAAGACTTGTTGTTGATGAAATGGCTAAGTAACAGGAATAACAGGATATTATACCTCGGTTGGCACCCTACCATTGCGAATTAAATCCGATTTAACTAATATGGGCTCAAGTGAAAAAATGTATAGCAAGAAATATCACCACCTTCAAATTACAAGATGTACGAAAACTTTTAAGAACGTCGTTAAGTCACGTAACTACAGAAAACTGGAGCAATGTTGTACACTGATAAATGAACGAAGAACAAAACATGTGGACCATTGAGAACCTTGTGGAAAAAACTGTAGAGTGTAGAACCATATGACTATAACTGTGACAACATCTGATTCAGATGAGAGTGATTCAGGAGAAGGTCGCTCAGAGAATTGAACATTTTTCCGAGTCACTTTTCTCAGTGAAATTAATTTTCTGTCGCTTTTTTGTATAATAAATAATAAATCCTATCATCCTGTTTCTGCAGGTAGTATCGAGTGTAAATTTAAAATGAGGTTCTGCTCCTAATGAAAAGAAAACAGCGTAAAGCTAAAATCTATTTTTTTTTGGGAAAAAAAAAACTTTCAAGGCGAGGTTCAATAGCAAGTCACCTTCGGATTAAGTTAAGCATCACTTATCAGGGTAAACATTGCAACTGGACACTACAGTGCCTGGACACGTTCACCCTGCAGTTAAAGGTGGTGTGACCCTAAAAAACGACTCAAGCTAATTAAATCAAGAAAAAAATTCTAAGATCTCTCGTGAAAACCGCAGTCCTATATTCAGATTAGTCTCCGAGAAAATTCCTTTCGAAAATTAATTATACAGGAACTTGTGATGTCACAACCGCCGATATCCCAGTCTTATTCTCTGTTCGATCAGTCGTCAGTGAACTGTACCCTATACTAAAGTGGTTGCAATTCGCTCTAGGAGATAATTATTGTCTTTTGTTTTGCAAAATTCTTACACGTTTTAATACTGTCCCTGATTGACCCTGATAATCCAGTGTGACGTCACAAACACCTAGTTGTAACTTTAAACCGCCCTAACTCGCGGTTTAAATATTTATTCTTAGATTTTTTTGCACTAAAACTTCAATTTTTGGGTCACACCCCCGTTGAAACCAACCCGAAGATGAGTCGCTATTGAGAAACCGGCCCTCAATATTTTATTTTCTAACCATTTCCCCAGTTTAATGAACTTTAAATCTGGCAACCAACATACAAATAATTTCTACAGCTACGTGCTTTCACAATTAATAATGTTCACTACGGCAGGAAACTGTAAAAACAGGTGTTGTCGCTAACTGTAACGGAATAGCAGGAGGAGGTTTGAATATTCGACAGCAGATGGCGCCAAGTGTATAAGAGATTAAAGTGGTTAGTGGGTTGAGGGGGTTAGCTTTATCATCCTATGCTTTATTGATCTGTTTGTGGAAATTATAATAATTTAAAGTGGTATTTTCATGATTCAGATTCAGATATCATACCAATATTTACTTGAGCGACAAAGAAATAAAAATATATTGTTCTGCAGGTGTTCAATTAAAATTTCAAAACCTAGGTACATTAACATTGTATATTCATATTTGCTATCCAGTATCTATTCCTTCACTCAGAGTGTTCACGTCTTTAAACATCCGATGTCTGGGGATTTTTTTTCTTCTAGGCTTCCAGCCATATAATATAGGAAACGCCAGTAGTCTTGTAAATAATTTGGCAGTTGGTAAATGTTTGAGAATAATTTAAAAGATGTCAACTGGTCTCCAATGCAATTATTCAAACCCGCCTGAACCCTGTAATAAATCTTTCACATTAGGATACTGAACATAGTTATAAGTAAAACCGATAGGGTTTAGTAAATTTTGTGAGGTAATTTAGTTCAATAAAATTTTTTATCAAAGAGAGTCCTAATTAATTCGCAGAATCTGTGACCATTCGGTGTCGGAAGTAGGTTATCAGAAGATTATTTCACTCATGTGTTAGAAGTACCATACGACAG